GGGCATGCGGGTCAGCTCGTCGACGCTACAGCCGAAGCAGGTCGGCAGCCAAAGTCCGCAGACAGAGATAAAATGGTCTCGACCACTATCCACGTGAAGCACAAGAATCTCCTCTAATTTGAGCTTTTTAAGGTTGAGGAGGCGGACGTGTTCGATGCAGCGAACATGCACTGTAAGATTGACATTGGCCACTTCTCCCGGAAGAAGAGTATGGCTGCTGACGGAAGTAGTCGATTGGTCAGGGTGGCTATCGCCGGATTTCTCAACGCGGACATCAAGCCAGTCGGACGATTCAGCCTTCGGGTCGTCGTGGAAGCTTGGCCTTTCCGCAAATGTGAAATTCGCTTCGGTGCCGCCAGTATTTGCGATTGTGAGAGAGCGATGAATAGGCTTGTCATACGGCACATCGCCGAAGTAAACAGTATTCGAATCTTGCTGGGCTTCTTTGTCGTCTTGATAAGTATCTACCACAACGGTGAGACCGGGTCGAGCTTCATTCTCCGCTTTGTCGAGTTGGCGGACAATATCTTGGTGTATCTTGGCCTTGAGACTAGGGTTCACTGCGTCAAATGTTAACGTGAAGACGGCATCTAGTGGCTTATGATCCGACGAAAGCACGCCTTGATGAGACACGTAATGGTCGAGGTAGATAGAGTCCGATGCTGATTCCTCGGACGAAACTGAGGCATTATCATCTTGATTCTCGCCAGAATCGTATTCGTCTGCGTCGGCGCCAGTATCCTGACCATCAACCTCGGGGTCATAATCAAAAAGGACATTCTCATCTGCGAGAGCTTGGTCGAGTCCGCGAGCTTGCATCTCCTGGTCACGTTTTCGGGCTTCCTGTGCTTCACGATCAAGTTGTTCATGCTTAATTTTGTCGCGCCGAGAACGATAGAGGATTCGGTCACACCAGCTAGGACCTCGATGCTTCTCACTGGAGTCAAATATTGCCACGCTTCCAACATCATACTTGTACGTTGGCAAGAATGTAATTTGACCTTCCCGCCATCCTTCGTGGAATGCCGTACCCTTTCTTTGCTGTGTGTGAAGCTGATCATGTACGACTAGGGATGATATTGTGGTTTGTAGAGATGCAGGATCATTGTGCGGATCAATTTCCTCGTCGGTGACGGGTTCTGGTTCCTCGTTATAGGGGGCGACCGGCGTAGAGAGGGAGCTGTCATCTGACCCTGTGATAGAACTCTGACGACTACCCGATTTTCTCTCCTCCATGCGAGCAGTATCATATGCATTAACTGTATGACGCGCAAGGACCTGCCGAACGTCATCGCCAGGGATATCATCAAGTCGATAATTCAAGTCACCAAACCAAAACGTGAAATCTTCATCGCCAATACTGTCAAATGTCTCTTGGGACTTCGGAACCGGGCCAACGGACTCGAACTTCGCACGTAATAGAATCTGTGAAGCATCCCAATTCCGCCGTTCCAGACTGCTTTTGTCCGACCCCGCAGCCAAATGGGAATTAACAAAGACCAAGCGGGTGGTTTCACCGAGAACTAAACGGGTAGCAACACCGCCTTTATTCCCCATGTACCCCATCAGCCCAGTTCCGATCGATGTGCTGCTAATAGATGAAATGCTTTCCGCGATGGCAGGGGAGGCGTAGATAACAAGGAGTAAACCCGTCAACTGGATATCCTCGACAAGCTGGTATCCTGGGGGCAAGGCTTTGTGAACGGCATCCTTCCAACGCTTCGGTGGGCCAGGATCGGTGAAAAAAGCGCCGGCAGCGGAAGAGATGTCCACAACCTCCTGTAATCCAAGGACATAGAGATCCACCTCCTCCGGGCTATATCGAAAAGGCTTCTCTCGTGTAGGGTCTTCGTTTGGTGAAATCGGGTCGGCGGTTGAGGTGGCTTGTTCAAACTGCGGGCCTTCTAAACCGGAAAACGTTTCACACACGCCTTGCCCGTGAACAAACCACTTGCCAATGTCCTTCTCGGTGGTGGGGATCCCGGCAACATTCCACGTTCCAATTTTTACACGGACAGTGCGTCGTTGAGTATACTCGGCCTTTCTAGCCTTGACAGCTCGGGAAAGTGAAAGCAAGTCAAGAGCCGGGTTGTCGATATCCTCTATATCTTTGGCTGCATGTTCTCGAGGGTCTGACGTAGCCGGCGATGCCTCGTTACGGTCATGGCCAGGCATGCCGAGTGAAGTGTTGCAAGATGAATGAAGCTTGAAGAGTAGTGACTGGGTTAAAGGACGATATTAATGCGAGCGCGATAGGGATTATGTTCTCAAATCATTTCTCTGAAGAGGCCGAGGAACTTATACAACCAGAGGAGGGGTGGGGTTGAGAGATAGAGGCGTGGATTGACGCTTTCCTATGAGGATATATAGAAGCAAAGTGGGGGCTTGAGATAAAGAGGATTTTGATTGAAGACTGGAAAGGGCTTGAACCCATTCGGGAAAGACTGCAAGGTTGTTGGAGTTGGAATTGGAGTTGGAGTTGATGGCTGCGGGGAGTTGCGGCGAAGTTGACGGAGGCGGCGGGGAGAGGGAGCTGTTTGCACTGTTTGCATATTTGCGTTGTTTGTGGTGCATTCTGTCCCGGCAGAACTATTCCTCCGGACTCCGGTCCCTTCGGCAAACCGGCACAGCATTCTACCGAGGTTATAGTTCATGTACTTGTTATTCCTGCTTTGCGGATGATGCTACTGCTACAACTTGAAAGCCAAATGTGTGATGTCCAAGTAAGACAGACCTCATTTGAATTCGCTCGAAACGTTATGGCAATTTACATGGTGATTGGTCAAGAGGTTGGAAGAAAAAATGAAAAGTTCATCGGGGCACAACTTGAATCCTGCTGTAACGGAGACGGAGCGCAAGATGGATACATCCATGAATTGGAGTTGGCCAACAGAGATGATGAGCATCCCTCTTCCACGGCTCCCGTTGGAAAGCCTTCAGCTGATGCTACTATATCTTCACACAATCGCCCTGCGGCGGAGAGAGGTGGGTGTGCTACCTTGGGATAGCGTCGCCACGGGCGTCAAGTTAGACTGAGAGAGCGTACTGATGGATCCCTGACCTTGGGTAGTATCGGATGGATCGTGGCTTGCAATATTGAAGTAACAGAAATTGGTCAAAGAAGACCCAAATGCCGGAAATCCACCATCGCTCCAACTACAAGAGTTCGTGGGTGGTGATTGTTTGTTGTTCACGAAGTAATCCTGACCCCGACAGCTGAACTTCATTGAGCACTCGGCTTTGATATCATAGTAGAGCATGTGAACGATTATATGACCAGCCTCAAGATCGGGGTGATTGAGAGTTCAGATCTGAAACCCCCGGCTTTTCCACGATCCCGGTCTTGCTAGCAATCGGACGCGGAGGGCGTCAGCACTGTCCCGCCAAGGAGATGAACTTCCAAAGAGGATTTACTGATGCCTGTTCAACCCTCACCCTCTGCTACGGCCCCACCTAATGGATCAGTTAGTCGCCGAACGTATATGCATTTGTGGATTCATATGAACGTACCAGGGTTCGGCTAGGCGTGCGTGTCACAGTGGAAGTAAACTTGCGAGCCCACACTCTAGTCTAATCTTCCAGATTCCGGCCACCTCCTGGTTTTGCGTGCTGATGGGCATTCGGAGAAGACTCGATGTGTTGGACAATTCCATGCTTGGAAATTGCAAGAGTAGCCAATACTCCCGTAGAAAAAGCAGTTTGAACAAACATTTTTGCCGGGTCGTCTTCTTATCAAATCGATTGGCTAAAAGGGGGGGGGGGGTTTATAAAGAGTTTAAACAGTAGCCATATCATCTTACTTTTATATTCCACTTTCATCGAAAATCTGCACCTTTTGCCTAGGTATGGGGCCCTTTAGCATGGGATAGACGGTTCACATTAGCTATGGCTCTCATTAGACCACTTTCTCAGCTAGTGAATGAATTGCGTCGAACAGGGACTCGATCGCAAGGTAGGACTACCTCAAGGAGTAGAGTAAATGGTAACGCTGATAGGCATGGTTTGACCAAACGTGTGTAATGTATGGCCCTGCTCTGGCTTGGGCTGTTCCGATGAACAAGTATTCGGCGACGGCGAGAGTTACCGATATGCGGGAGGCTTCAACAGCTACGAATGAAGTAATCGTGCACATTAAATGAGTCAAAGCCTGGCTGTTTTGTCCCATTTCTATAGAACATATACGACGTGGATTTCGTGACACTCATGGTAGGAAACGTGAATGTTGCATTATTTGCCTTCGAAATGGGTGATGGAAGCATCAAGATGGTGCATCATTTGCAAGGCCTGACGGGTATTCCAGGTAAACAATTAGATGATTTATCTGACGGTAAATTTATAGAAGAGCGGCTCAAGCGTTAGTACACTGTTCGTTTTGATGTTGATTGGCATGCCAATCTACGCAGTCGGACTCCGCATCTGAAAGCTAATGGCCAAAAGGAGAAAAAGTGGAGGTGGCCCCAAACCCTTGAAACCTTTCCTTTCGAATAACCTGACATTGAAGCTGATGGTATCGGCAGGCAGTGTAATGGGGGCCAAAATATTCATTCGAAAAAGGAAATGTCGCCAAGCGCTATGCTGGCCTCTGCAAGATCATGTCAAAGAACATTCAGTGCAGAACAGATCTTGGGCATACTTCGGATTAAAAGTATGTCCTATCGGACTCGCGGAATATTCCATACCTGGCCGAATCCATCTACAAATCTGGGCTTTTTGAAAGGTTCCGTTACGCAGATTACCGGGATTCCAAATGCAAAAGTGGACTTCGGGAAATGCCGGAAGGCAAGGAGTAGTATTGGTTTGTTGTATGAAGAAAAAGTGTAGTATGAATCCTTTCTAGCTGCACAATCTATGGTAGATATTGAAAATATTGAATCCAAAACAATAGCGCTGGATAAATTCCCACGGTAACGTGATCTATTATTCACAATCCCTTAGAAGTACCCTTTATGCTTATCAGAGCCGTCCCATTCGCCGCCATCACACTGAAACGGATCAGTTACCTAGTAGGTTGCATATTTTGCAGCCACAATATCAGCCTGTACCTTGTTCTCGGTATCATCGGAAGGGAAACCAGAGGTCATCACACCATCATAGAAAGTACCCTGGGCATTCGGACTGTTGTCACCACCGATTCCCAGAATGATCGAGCCTTCGTTGTGCATGGGGTTGTAGCCATCCGGGCGCTCCCCATTGTAGTAGATGGAGAGATCACCGGTAGTAGAATCACCGCCACGAAGCGCCCACTGATTTGGCTTACCCTTGAGAACAGCAGTAACAAAACGTGAGGTGATAGAAGGGTCACCGGAGCTATACTTGGCATCCTTGCCCCCGAAGAGACCATCCTCCAAGTCGGCCATGATCCAAGGCCCATCACCGGTGCCCTTTCCCCAGCCTGTATTGGTACCGAAGTAGATGGCCTCCATGTGACCAGCGCCTGTGTCGGTGTTGCTGGTCTCAGCATTGCCGTAGTCGAAGCAGCACTGGTCATTATAGTCCGTTCCGTCAAGAACGGCATACATGCCCTCGGGGTCATTACCCGTAGCGGTGTCAACAGCGCCATTCTTGCGGTATCCCATACCAGCTTCAATTTTCATACCATACACCTTCTGGCCGTTCAATGTGATGGGCGCGATTGCGATATTCTGCATCAGTACTACCTATACTACAGACTCTATATCCGCTAATGTTATCCTAATAATCTAAGGTTAAATAGCTCACTACATCTCTACAGTATTCAGCATACCTGGAGCTATAGAATCAATATCTAACATTTAATTAGACCTTGCCAAAGCCCGGGCCGGGCTGTCTTGGCGGCCCGCAGGCGTAACAGGTGGAGTGTCTAATATCATAGGTCGTAATCTCTGGAGAACCCAATTCTTTTGCATACCCTCCACTTGAGTATTTGGGATCATGTCATAATGCCTCCATATCTCCATTATTTAGTGTTTATCTCGGACAAGAAGTCTCACTTAAAATAAATGTATGATTTATACCAATTCAAAGAGCCCAAATTGGATGAGTCAAATTGACTGTGCCTGGTTTGATTTTGCGACATTATATCAGCGGCATCATAGACAAGAAGACTTAATTTAAAGTAAAGCAATTGTATATTTTCGTCTGCTATCCTCATTCTAGTATTTGACCTGGGCCTCTCACCAACTATTTGCATTGTTTCCTTGGAATATTCTCCTAATTGAAAGTACTACCTCGAGCAACAACTGATGAATCCACCTCTCTTCCAAGATCCCGAGCAAGATACCATGAGTTGGTGAAAGAATTCTCAAGGAGCAACAACCTAACATAAGTTTAGACATGAGTTTGACCATTATGTTAACTGTGGTATTAAAAGAACCGACCTTGAAGGACTTGAAAGTCGGGTGGCTTATGAACTGCGCGGCCATCACACAGTCACCATTTGTGGGCATGCCATAAGAGTCGCCCTGGCAGTCTAGGCGATCATAGACGTAGATATTCCAGCCACCACCCTTTCCATTGAAAGAAAGGATGTCGATGTTCTGGTTCGTACAACCTTGGGGGTCACTGGTGATCAAGGAGGCGTCCAATCGCCCGTCGCAGTGCGCGCCCTCATACAGATTAAGCTCATAATCTCCCAGAGCAGCAGCAGAAGAGGCTGTGAACAGGATAGAGAAGAGAGTAGCCGAGACACGCATAATGAAATATAATTGAGGAGGTGCGGAGAATAGCGAATGCTTGATGATTTTGAAAAGGTTGGGTTTAGACGGAAGTATTTATATCTTTCCTCCACAGTGAGTCTGTGTAGGTGGTCAGAAAGAGCGCTACAAAAGGAAAGGATGACCGGAAATTTGGCCCCTAGACCCCCTCGAAGTAATTGACCTAGGCAAGAAATGTAACTCTCCAGATGGGTACTCCGTAAGTGGGTCAGGATACAATAATCCAAGGTACGTATGTAGAGAAGTTATAGTCAGTTCTTTGGCCACGTCTCGCAGAGCTTAGCGCTATAATAATAAAGCTACGGAAAAGCTCAAAGGTATATTACTATTTATTTCTGTATACAATTCAGATACTATAATGTTAATTAACATTAATGGAAACCTTGGAATAGAAATAATATAGATACAGCTCCAACATATAAATATATCAGACAACCCCACAAAACCATACCCCACCCCACCAGAAGCGGAATGATTTACTTCATAGCACCCTAATCATTATCAGGTTTGTTGCCTCGTGTAGCGCCTCTGAGCAGCTTGATATCGTATGCGGGAACATCAACTGTATAACACAAAAAGCAAAGCTACAAGTATACATCACATGCTGTAGAGAGAATGTATGCTTAGGTGGAATTGACCAGCGCATTATACTTGATTTCTGCTGTCACAAAGGACGACATTGCACATTTTTATCATGTTTTTAGGAACGTTTTGCTAAGATACTTCCCAAAATAACGCATATCTGGAATGAGACCCTTGACTCGTCATATAGATATATGGGGGCTGAAAAAAAGAGGATTCTTATGCCCGCCAAGATTTGTCCTTGCCCAATGCAGTTAGCAGTGCGAGGTTAGTGTCACATTTAGCCCCCAATTCTGCACTCAATTATCTCAGAGTAAGACATGATACCTGGCTAAATGGTCACCCCATTAAAACTCTAAAATTTGTGTAATACATTTGTTGCATAGTCTCAAAACTTAGGCGTTATTCAGTATGCCAAGACTCAAGGGTTTAACCAAAGATTAGTACTCAAGCCCTAACTCACTGTAAGTAGACCTGTGCAAACTGGTTCCCGCGGGCTTTGATCTCGCAAAAAAGCCCGTATGGCAAGAGCCCGCGGGCCCTATCATCAAGACCCGGCCCGGCCCACAGGCCTTTGTAACAGGACCCTAAAGCTCGTAGAAAACCCGTTTTTATATCGGATATGACGTCTTGCCTTTTTGGGATGTAAATAAAATAATGAAAATTTTCTTTGTAATCATTCCGGTTTTCTTTGTGTATGAAACTCTACCTATTTGATACTGTTTTTATATTCTTTTAACTTCTGTAGATAATACTAGTCAGAGTATAATCTTCTATTTTAAGCTCTTTTACTCTTTGTTGTAAACTTTTGATTATCAATATAAACTACTACTAGACTAAAGGTATAAGAATCAGGTGTAAATTATTAGTATCTTCTCTAAACTTTAATTTTTTATTATACCACTACCAGAACCAGTTATACGACAAAATAATATCTAAGAACCTATATTTATTTAATATCTCTATAGTTTACATTGATTAATTAGTGTAGTGGGGATTCCTGCTCTCAACATCAGTATCTCAAAGTTATATGATTAGGGCCTTAGCAACAAGGCTACTGTTTAGTTTCAGGAGGATAAATAGTTTCGCTCTATAGTATCAATTCAATATATATGTTCCCCCTTATAAAATGATTCCCTGAGGCTGATGAGATTGCGGTATTGGTATACTGCTTATAAAAGGTTCTATTGTTTTTTCATTAATCCTCTATAGTATCATACTATGCCTATCTCGTTTCTGTACTTTATGAGTGTAGTGGTATTGTCTCTTTATGATTAACCTGTCTACTAACGCAGATAGCCTACAAGTATTCCTATCTTTATATAGCTTCCCTAGGAAGGCTCAATTAACAAAAGAGTAGCTGAAAGCAAGAGCAATACTATTATAAGAAGTAGGTATAGTATTTGACTCTGAGAAAATACAACAATCAGATATATTACAAAGGGTAAAGAGTAGCTTGATCCTAGATAGGATCAACCTATTAAATATTCAAAATATCAGCTAAAAAGAGTATCAGAGTATTCTCTTCCGCTGAGTATATACAGTTTTTATGATCAATACTCGCTGATTAATATACTAGAGATGCTATAATACTAGAAGGAATTTTATAAATAACACCGGATCAACTATATAAGATAGCAGTTTGCAGATGTCCTGGTATTAGCTATATCTGGTATTTAGTGCTGTCTAATATTCTGTCATTATTTACGTTATGTTATATACTAGAGAAGGTGGATAACCCCTTATCAGGAAGCAAGGAGTTAATTTTATCTGAGGAGTTACTATTGAAAGAGCTGCTATCCGAAGAGTAGTTATTGTGAATTGTATTATTGTTATTATTATTGTTACTAAGTACTAAGGCTTCTATTCTCTGTTCTGTTTTTTCTTTATCGTCTTTATCTTTATTTGTTTCTGTTTCTGCTTCAAAATTATCCATCAGATTATCCAATCAGATTAAGTTATTTTCTGATACTGTATTCTTATATTCTTCTTGTTCTTTAGTACCTTGTTTTCTGGTATATAAACCATCTTCTGATAAAGAAGCTATAATGTCTTCTAAGGCTGAACTTATTATTTCCAAGGCTAAAACTACTACTGCTGAGCCTGTATAATTACTACAGTTACTATCACTGCTATCTTATTTTCCTACAGGAAAACGATCTCTTGAAATCATATTTATTAATAATAAAAGAAATAATAGTGAATCTCTTAGCGCGATATAGCTATACCTATTGCCGCTACAGAATAATTTACTTAGTTCGCAAACTGCTTCCTAAAGCTTCTGGATCAACTATTAGTGAACCCTCTCGTCCTGTAAGCCCTGAAACCGCTATGAGGCCACCTTCTTCGTATCCTCTGTCTCTGCTGCTAAATATGCCTTTGCGAACTTCTGTTCCGTCTCCTCAGCCAATATACCAGATAATTTATAGCGCTATACTAGTCCTAGGTTTTTAGAGAGCCCCTGCTTTTAATAAGACTAATATATCTAAATTCTTGAGAAAACTAGAGAATATATGCTGACGGAATATAATTATCCAGTATACTGTGATTATAGACTTGCTTTCTTAGTATTATAAGAGACCGCCATATATCTATGTTAAAAGTTATAATATATAGAAATTAAGGGATTAGTAAGAATTTCATGAGAAATTCCTAGATTATTACTATAATTAGGATAATGAACAGTTGCAGTATAATAAACAGTAACTAAATAAGCTTATAGATAGTAATCAATCAACAAATAACGAAATCTAGCGCTATCTTAGTAAGTTTCATAAGGTCTCTACAGAGATATTTCTGCTTAGTTGTCTGAGTAATAGTAAACAAGCTAATCTGTTGATTAAGAGTCTTCTGAAGAAATAGTAAATAAGGATTTTGAAATGTAATACTCTGAAAGCATACTCTCACAGTAATAAGATCTCTTATAATAAGGTATATAAGTAGCTTTAGACAAACCTATATATTAAGGTTAATATATATAGAAAGATTAAGAAGAAAGAAGCTAAGTGTATATTGTCTATAGAGAGATAATTATCTTTAATATCTTCTCTCTCTGTTTCTTTGGTTTCTTCTGTTTAATTAGTTTCTGATAGTAATATATTATAATCTCGATATTATTCTCAGCCTAGTATTTTATATCTTACGAGCAAGACGTACTGGCTGCTCTGGAGATTTTAAGCAGGACAGTGTTTTCTAGCAGAAAAATAAGGGCCTTATTGCCTTATAGATTGTTTATACTGTTTCCTTTTATAGTTTCTCTGGCTAAGGAACAGCCAGTTTTCTAGGGAGGATAGTAGATAGTAGGGATTCCTGCTCTTAACATCAGTATCTCAGAGTTATATAATTAGGGTCTTAGCAACAAGGTTACTGTTTAGTTTCAGAAGGATAAATAGTTTTGCTCCAGAGTATTAATTTAATATGTATATTCTCCCTTATAAAATGATTCTCTGAGACTAATAAGGTTGTAGTATCGGTATACCACTCATAAAACGTTCTATTGCTTTTTTATCAATCCTCTATAGCGTCACGCTTTACCTATCTTGTTCCTGCACTCTACGAGTGTGGTAGTATTGTCTCTTCAAAATCGACCCGTCTGCCAACGCAGCTAGCCTACGAGCATTCCCATATTTCAATACCTAGTTTCCAAAACTACAATCTTAGTAGCTTCTGAAAGTTTACCACCTTCATACTATTATATCAAATAAACTAACCATAGAGCCACAAAATAAAGCTCTATCTTCTATCTATCAGCCGTAATACATTCAATTCCAGTTAATAACTAGCCTTATTCAAATAAATAGGTTCAGATTTGCTTTAGATAGCTAAAATAACGTTTTATAACTAGCCTTGGCCTAGGGTAAAGCTAGTTTTATCAAAATTATACACATAATTTAGTAGAATATGCTTTATGTGAGGATGCTCAGATGCTCACAGAGATCAACGTACGGCGTAGCATACGAAGCAAAGGAAACAGTAGCTGTTCGACAAAAGGAATAGCTTGAGGAGAATAATAAGGAAGCTAAGATAGAAGGCTAGATACACAGGTGTAGGCGTGGGTGCCTAGAGTGGTGCCGTAGGCATGAGGCATCCACGAATGGTAACAACACCAGTTCGTTACACTTTATAAGAGGCTCTAGGCATTTATACCATACAATCAAAATACCTATATCCTCTCCAGTAGCTCGATTTTAATCTGCAGACCTTTAATAAACCTAATTAAGGTTATTTAGCAAACAGTTATTAACGAATTTATATACCCAGTCTCTACCAAGCAGACGCACAGTAGAATTATCTCTGTATAGTAACACATTTACGCTCACAACCACTATTCTAGCCGTAGGTAGAATATATAGGCTATTAAGGCACCGGATCCAGCCTACTAATAACGCTTCTTAATCGTTATTTAGTCGCTCGTAGGCTATATAGCGCGTGCTGCAAGATACACAACCAAGGTAGCGTACCCGAAGGCGCTACATTGGAACATCGTATTCAGGCGCTAATACAGCGATATTAGGACTTTTTACAATCCTAGCAGCCGAACAAGCAGTTTGAATACGCATTTCAACTATATTATATTGACTAGGCATCGTAGTGGTAGTGTTGGTAGTCAAAATAGTAATAGTGTGATTATTGAGAGCAGAATTTTGTTGACCCCCGGCTGACCCACACGCAGCGCGTGTGGGTCAGCCTTAGGCTTAAGGCACCCCAGTATGCCATCTGACTGTTAATACCAACTCTATCTTGGGCTCATACGAGTGGAGACATGAGTACGCGGTGGATATCATTGTATTAGCCCGAGCCAAAAATGGCAGGGGAAATTATCGCCCACAGACTCCTACATAGTTACGTACATAGGAGCCATAGCCAAACTTCAACCAATCATTTTTACTGAGCCTATGTGGTGCATGTTGATCTTTGCAAGGCACCAATTGGCTCATATTTCCTTACAGCGATACCATCCCGTATCCGCTTCGTTCCCAGCAGATCGATGTGGATATTGCCTTACGCAAGGTCGAAGCTGATTACAGAGACACATCTCCTGTGGAAAAACAAAAGACTGGAAATTCGGCGGGACTACCCAGAGGGACCGGGGCATTTTATCAAAAATGGCTTCGTCGAACTAATTGCGACAATGATCCTCCATGTCATCCAAATAGACGATCGGTGGACTAGAAACCTTTTGAATTCTGTCGGGTTGAGGATACCGCTGTGGATGCTGTGAGACCGCTTATTCATCGTCCGCCCATTCCTCCACAGTATTTGGATTGTAATTCAGATTAACTGGGAAGTACTGTACTGTAACACATCGGATGATTATGTCAGACAGCAGAATATCGGTATGGGCTACATAGTACTCATGGGACCAATTGGATTGATTCAGATGGTTGAAAATGTAGAGACCTGTTGAGAGATCTCTTGCAGACCACTATGGTGTTATACGACACCATACTTCCTAGATATCCCTAATTACCATACAAAACATTATGGAGGAACGGACAGACGCTGAATAATCCTGACTATAGGATCCACAGTAACTAACTAGTATTTTACTGGGCCTTCAGTTTGTCAGATGACCCCTGAGGATCCTTCAACGGTTCCTCGCATCTTCAATCAACACAGTTTCAATTGGACATGTCGAGGACTAACTTAACCTCCCCTTTCCCTGATTTTTTCGTTCCCGCCCTCCCATTTCATCGTTTCAGGGCCACAGCGTGCGCAGCGCGCGTGACCTGTTTGATTTATGTTTGATTTACCCTGACCCTTCGCATCGAAAGTTGGATCCCAGGTTATGTGATGTAACTAGCAGCCTAATAGGCTGCCAACACCACTCTAGGCAGAAGGCAGCTACCGTGACTACAATAGCTGCTCCAACTCGCATAGTTCCGGAATGATCATCGCAATTGTACAGTACCTCAATCCGGTATCTCGACTTTCGATGCGAGGGGTCAGCATAAATGAAATCATCATCATCATCCTGTAAGTATAACGTCTAAAGAACGGCGCACAATGCTTGAACTAGAATCGGCGGCTTGGAAAGTTTATTTTGAGAACGCCCCCTATTCCAGGAAAAACAATTTATCTCTAACCTCTACTGTAACGGGTCATCTATGTGGGGCGCACTACTCACCTCCAGCCATTCCTAGTGAGTTTCAGTTGGTTTCAGTTTGGGAAAGCTTGCTCAAACCGACGAATACTCTTGTCACTCAAATTCTCCGACTATCAGATGAAACAGATCCCCGTGTCTGACAGCCGGAGAGCGGCACAAATACTGCATACAGATAAAACTTCCGGTTGGGCTCCGCTACGCTTCCCCTCAGAGCCTCGTAAAAGTAATGATATCTAAACAGATCCTTCTTTTTCTCTTCTTGATTCACTTTCATGCTCCCTTCAGACGAGTGGTCGGTGGTTCGGTCTTTGCTATGGAAGATCCAGTGGGAGCTATCTGGGCGAGAAAGCTCTCGGCTGAGCGCATAGCCTACCTGGCGCAATCCCGAATTCCTGATATCATCGCTTGCAATGTCATTCTACTCGTGTTTGCAACCGGTGGCTTACTGATCCGATTGTTTGTCCGGGTTCGATATCTCACCGGGATCAACCTTGATGATATAATTTGCATGACTAGTTGGGTGCGCTTATCTTTATTTATCCCCATCTCGATTGGTTACTCATGCGTGTTTAGGTATTCACCTTTATCCTGTGCTTCACTGCGATGTTGAGTAAGTTTTACCTCGTGACGGTCTATGAACATTTCTACATGATGCTAAATCCCGCGTAAAGTGACCAAATATGGGTTCGGCAAACACATCGGGACAGTGTCGAGTTTCAATGATCGAGCTATGTTTCTCAAAGTATGCTCATGAGGTTACAATTGAATAAAACTTTACATTGCAGCTCCTCTGACTGACTGTTTCTCATAAAAGCTCGATTTTGTCGCAATGATTACATATGTTCTCTCTCTCGGTACGATTAAGATATCTTTCTGCCTCTTATACCTCCACATTTTCCCAGGGGACAAGTTCCGGATTGCCTGTTGGTGGCTTCTTGCAATTATTGTGGCACAAACTACCGCAGAGACTCTGGTGGTACTCTTTCAATGCAATCCTGTCCATAAGGCCTGGGATGCCACGGGCCTCGTGGAAGGTACCTGTGTCGATATGAATACATTCTACTATGCCAACTTCGCCGTCAAACTGGCCAGTGACTTGGCATTATTCACTATGCCAATTCCAAAGGTAGTTCGACTGAGAATGACGGTGGGGAAGCGTGTAGGCTTGGTGGTGATGTTCAGTCTGGGTCTCCTGTAAATCCCTTTTCTGCATTGGTTTCCGAAACTGAAAGCCTCAAGAAAGCTGACATGGCTAGGGTATGCATGACAAGCATCATTCGAATCAGTTATCTCAACACCTTTGAGGTGGATCATACTTGTAGGTTGAAGCCACGACCTTCTTTCTTGAAACAACTGCTTGAGTTCCGACTGACTAGCTATCTTCGAATATTCAGGGTCAATGGTTAATGCAATGAACTGGTCCTGTGTGGAAGTCGCTGTCGCCATTTTTATTGCCTGTATTCCCTCATTCAATACCTTGATTATATATCGTTTCCCGACGTTACGAAGATTATTGGGCCTCCCCAGCAACAAGGATCATGGAACATGCACGTCAAAGGCATACGGAAGTTCGAGCCGTCGAGTCTATAATAATTTGTCAATCGACCATCGCAATAGCCTCAAGCTGAAACCGGTCACCGGTCATAGTCATGCAGATGTGGAATCCAGCACCAATGAGTCCCAGGAGCGGATAATACATGAGGGAATACAGGTGATGACCAATGTTAGTGTAAATAGTAATAAGAGTGTTTGATGCTAGGGAAAATGGCAATTTAATATAGCCATGGCCTGCCACTCTCTATTAGCCGGAAAAAACATATTTACAATTCCATTGTTGTCTGATGCGAATCTTGATTTCAATAGCCCTAGACTTAGTTCCACTCGCCATTTGCCTTACTAATGCAAAGTATGAAATGTGGTTTCGAGCACAGGCCGAGAAACAAAGCGTGTGTGTCCTGGGGGTAATATGTTTTCGAATTCTACTATAACGTAGGTCCCACGACCACCGTGTTGAGCCGAAGCCTTTTCGGAAATAGAGATTGAATCTTACAGGGAGGCCGAGCTAGAAAGTACCGAGGCTGCACGGTCGACCGCGGATATCGTGGTATACTCCGATGCCTCGGGACGAGGAGGTCATCTGGGGTGCCGCAGCGGCGGCGCTCGTCGAATTGCTGAAAACAACCGACATCATACAAGTTCAGGTCGGACCTATGGAGCGATAGTCGGTTCACGCCACCGAGCTATTGGGATTCTGTTCGCCATCAACATCATCAATAAGATTGCTCTCTGGCACTGCAGAATCCAAACGCGAGCGAGATCTGCCACCATCCTCGCTGATTTGCTGGCCAAAGAGGCAGCCATACCGTGAAAAACAAACCCGTTTTGCGTTTTGCTATCACGCGAGAGGGCACATATTAGGCAAGCAATCCATGCCCGGTGGAAGAAAGAATGGAACTAGTCGAGCACCGGCGCCCATCTGTGTCAACGACACACTACCGGCCAAGTACACACACCAGACGGCTCTACGGCTCTCTGTCTAGAAATCGAGCGTACTTATTAACGCAGTTGCGAACCGGGCACTGCTGGCTGTCAACATACGCAAAGACCTTCCGATTCCCAGACGAAGATCGGTCTATCTGTGGCGAAAGGGAAATCGTTCACCACGTGTTGTTAGATTGTCCACGATTGGGAGAACTGAGATCCGACGATCAATCTATCCCTGAGAACATCGATGTGCTCAAGAGAATTATGCTGTTCCACGACATACCACGGTCTTCACGGGTCGAATTTGTCACAAGATATTCTATACCGTTCTTTATTCTGTCCTGCTGCTGATACGATGACGTAACTAGTTATGTACCCACTTGGTCTTCTTAGACTGCCTAGTCTTCTCAGATTTCTAACGTGTTGACAGTCCAAAGATGATTTCCATAGGCAGTAATTCTCTATAAACAGTAGTTCCCTAGACGGAAGAAGGCTCTGTAAGTACCCCCTTTCACTTGTGCCTTGTTTCGGGAAAGCTTTTGGCAATAAATCTATTCCCTGCTGGGAAAATTGGTGTATACCTCTCTACGACTAAGATGTATATTTCGCATGAAACGAGACTTTTCGCGCTCAACATGGAGTTACCGACCATGACCAGCGCGACTATATTTCATTAGTGAGGCACGTATACTTTCATGTCACTACATATTTCATTACAAGATCGTTTCTTCATATTTCAAGCGACCCAATGCTGTATCCGTTATCAAATGGTAGATATCATGACTGAAACAGGAAAGTTATAATAACGTGTATGTTATCAGATCAATAGTCAAGTTATCCATTCACTTAGGAAATTTATACAGCATCGGGCAGGTAATGGGCAGCCTGAGAGCGCCCACCAAGAGTACGTGAAAGGGCTGTGCTAACGTCAACACGGGACCTGACACCAGAGTTACCTGAACGGAGCTCGTATGAAAACTATGTGGAGCGCGGGTGGGTGTAACAGTACCGAAACAGTAGGACGGTTAATATCAATATCAATCCTAATCATAAGAGGCGATATTGTAGTTGAGAGCATCGTTCGGCTACAACCTTGGAATCAGTGACATCTCTCTGCACCATAGCTGGCCCTAACTCAGCCTCACCACGAACCTTGGTGGTTGCAGGGCCTGTCAAATCATCCTGGATAGAGACAAACTCTATCTGATTGATTCATATTGATTCAATTGAAAAAGAGGGCCACTACTCCGTACAAGGTTACACTAATCGCAGCCAAAGTGACATCTACTTACCCTTAGGTGAGATCTACTAAGTCCTAGGTGAGTGTAACACTAATGTCTGAGACTACGGAAGGCTGGGGAACCATGCATCCATTTCTTATCAATAACCAATGATATCTCTGGCTCGCCTCCCTCAATACCGCTAAGACAACAGTAACCCCGCACGCTAACCCCACAAGCCCCTAGGGGAGTAACTATAGCAGCCACCGACCAGCAAAGAAGGTAGCGGTAGCAATATCGTCAGATGGCTAGGCGGCTACCTAATATTAACCCGACCTAGTTAAACTTCTGCTGTTGCGCTCCCTAGTCGCTGATAAATAGGTCGTCTTCTCCTAGTAACCTTCGTCGAAGACTCTTGTTTGTCTCTAATATACAAGTTGTTCCACCTTGACCCAAGTCTCCGTCCGGCCCATCATGGTTAATGATACGACTGGCACTGATCCGACTTCAGACAAAGGGTCCGTGCCTGCTCATAATGTCGAAGAGCCGGTTGGTGATCTCCAGCTTCCCCCAGGATGGATGTATAAGTCGTGGGGGGTAGGGCGCTGGCGCACGCCCTGGTATGCTTCCCCGAGGTTCCAGCTGGCTATGGTCGCCTTTGTATGTTTTATGTGCCCCGGCATGTTCAATGCTCTCAGTGGTCTGGGCGGTGGTGGCAAAGCCGATCCGCATTTGGCAGATCAAATGGTATTGCGCACCTTCTGAGTAGGGAGTAGAGAATCAGCAGAAATGGACTGATCGATCTTGTCAGAACCTCACCCTGTACAGTGTCTTCGCTGTTGTCGGTTTCTTCGCTGGCTCGATCGTCAATTGGATTGGGATCCGACTGTCACTCTCCTTCGGCGGAATCGGATATTGTATATATGCGATCAGTCTTCTCGTCTCTGTGCACAAATATGTTCCAGGTTTCAACATCTTCGCTGGTGCCTTACTGGGTGCCTGTGCGGGTATCCTTTGGTCGGCTCAGGGAGCTATCATGATGTCCTACCCCCACGAGCACCAGAAAGGTCGGTATTTTGCGTGGTTCTGGGGTATCTTTAACATTGGCGCCTGTATAGGCAGCCTTGTACGTATGGGACTGCTGCCAGTCATTGCCTCATCTAATTGACAGTTCTTAGATCGCTCTCGGCACAAATATCAACGTCAAAGTCGCTGCCACTATCTCCGACGGAACGTACATCGCTTTCATCGTTCTTATGTTCTTTGGCGCTTGCCTAGCTCTCATGCTCTGCGATGCGAAGAAAGTCATTCGCCGCGACGGGTCCCGGGTTATTGTTATGAGAAATCCAACATGGAAAACCGAGTTGTACGGGCTCTACGACACGCTCAAGCACGAACCTTTTGTCATCCTGCTTTTCCCTATGTTCTGGTCTTCTAACTGGTTTTACACATACCAAGGAAACGCAATTAACGTCGCCTACTTCAACACCCGGACGAGGGCCTTGAATTCCTTCCTATACTGGTTCGCTCAAATCGTAGCTGCGACTATAATCGGCCCACTCCTGGATATGACTTACTTCCGTCGTACCGTACGTGCTCGCAGCGCGTGGATCATCCTCTTCATCCTGACAATGGTTATCTGGGGTGGTGGCTGGGCCTGGCAGAAGAATTATACTCGCGAGTCTGTAAACCCCGAGACAACCGACTTCCAGCATTGGGATTGGACGCATCCTGGATACGTCGGGCCCATGTTCTTGTACTTCTTCTACGGATTCTACGATGCAGTCTGGCAAGGTGTTATCTACTGGTCAGTCTTCTCCCATCTCTTGCCCCTTCCCCTGCCATCTCCCCTATCCATTCATACCCCCTCGTATCAAGCCAACTAAAATCCCAACCCACACTTCCAGGTACATGGGAGCTCTTTCCAACTCAGGTCGGAAAAGCGCCAACTTCGCCGGATTTTACAAAGGTATCCAATCTGCTGGTGCAGCCGTGATGTGGAGTATAGACTTCCACAATACGTCTTACGCAGCCGAGTTCGCCAGCAACTGGGGTCTACTTGGAGGATCACTGCTCATCGCGGCTCCGGTGATCTTCCTACGCATCAAAGACCATGTAGATATCGCGGATGATCTGCAGAATACTGATGAGACGGTCAAGGATGTTCTTCCTGTCGGACATCCGGAGAAGTAGCTGAGAAAGTTCTACCTAGATAGCCGTGCAAGGGCTGAATGGGAGGCCCAGTCTCATTTTCGCTTATTGTTAGCCCTCTCGGCTCAAATGAAACTTATTGAGCACAGATAAAAACATGTATAATTGGGGACGTGTTCTGTAGTGTCGGACCTTATTGGAGGCCTAAGATAAGATTATAACGGCAAACCAGACACTTTCTCGAGAGCGAAGGCTATGCTGGACTTCACCGAGGCATCACAACCGTTTCGCAGTCTACACTAGATCGATGGTTGGCTTCCAGGGAGATGACTAAACATAGCTGTACTGATCTCCATCTGGCCAAACTCGGCAGACCTCGGAGAAATGGCTTACACAGCGTAGACACATACTGCCACTTTGCACATGTTTTTGCCATTCCAACACCGCGGTATTTGGAGAATATTGTAGCTTTTAGGATCAAAAAGAGCTTTTTAAAAAGAGAATGTGTCTGTTCTTATTATTATTGGTTCTAGAATTATGAGTACATGAATTCAACACAGCTATAAAACTTTATATTTGTTCCTTCAAATCGCTCAGAGTCATAGTGACCAAAAGCTCCAGTGGTCCAAGGCCTCCAGCGTGGAGTAAAAGTGACTGCGACGCTAAGACAAGCTCACAAAAAATGTCGCATGAGTGTAGGAGAGACAAGATTGTTCTAGAACTCTTCAAAAGGTGCGCGGCTATTGATTAGAAAAGATCTTTTTATCATCATCACAGTCACCCTTTTGTAATCTACCCTTGTGCGTCTTCAATCTACCCCTTTCAGCGTCAAAAATTGGGTTGATCCATATGTTTCCAGCGTTTTTGTTCTCAGTCCCTGTCCTAAAAATGCTTTGTGTAGCAGCTTTTGTTATCTTAGCTCAAGAATCCATAATACAAAAACAGAAAGCGAGACTCGACCCACCAATGCCTGTAAGATGATTATTGATATAAATATTTTCCCAGTGATTTTTTGGTGCTTGGTAGACTTCATGCATGATACTGAGGTACGGGTGTGATTTTGTGATGCTATTCCACCAGTCCCATACTTCACGGTGAAGTGGGCCATGTGCATATGCGTGTACATCTTCCAAGGTTCGAAAGTATGTCGCAAACATCAGTTGATTTGCCGTTGAACGCTCGCCAATTCCCAGCCAGGAGGTTGCACCGAGATCTATATTGTGAAATGTATTTAGTCTGACAGACCATAGGAAGATAGGGATCGATGTGCTTACAACTGTATTGCCTCGCATTGTTTGCAAGCTGAGCCTGCATTTGATTCATATAGTCCCCCAGCACTTGAAAGCCTGGGCCGAATATCCCCATGGGACTGTTGAGGGTGGAAGACCGTGAGACTGGGTAACTCTGAAATGCCAGAGAACACGAATATGTTAGTGGTGGGGCTTAGACTTACTGGTTTGAACGTGCGGCCAGTAAAATTAATGCAACGCTTTGATCAGCAGCCTTTCCTGAGAACACCCCATTTCGGTCGGGGAGTAACGCAGTGAATTTGCCAGCAATAACGCCGGCCATTTGAGGATTTTTGATAAAGCCAAGTGTCGTGAGACTGCTCTTGACAAATAGGAATAACATCATGAGAATAGGTGGTAGAACCGCGTACGAGCTCGGAAAAACTAAGACAACGAAACCTTGAAAAACAGCCCCCAGAAGTAGCCATGTTGTCAAGGCAAAGTTGTCACGGAGTAACTAAGGCTTCGTTTAGATCTGGATAAAGGACGATAAAAAGAACCCTCATCATATGTCAGGTTGAGCGTAGATAGGTAGCACAGACATTAATTTGCAGGTTCCATTCAGTTCGTTTTCTTTCGGTTGACGGGGCAAGGAGCGGTTCCAAATTCGTGATCGGGCGGTTTGCCGTCATTTTGGACTATATTTTGAATCTTAAGGGTAGTTATTTGAAGAGATGCTAGGTAAAAAAGAGGGCCTTGCAAGAGGAATGAAGAGGTAAAGAGGATGATAAAGTGAAGCGGGGAAGGACAAGGTCTGGGCCATGACCTAAACCTTTCAAGGAAAATACTACCTCGGGATCGAACGATCAGCATTGTCTATCGTCAAGGAAATAGACATTGACACTGTATTGACTCGTCAGATACATCTATGGTAACGTGGGGACTACAATCTTTACAATACCCCTTGTTTGATTTACTAGTACTTTCGCTGCAAAGCGCCACTCCTGATTTGTAATCATCGAGTCACTGGCATTCTCAAAAGGTATCTAACCCCCACGAAGCTCAGTAGATTAGTTCTTGTGTTTATTCACAAATCACCTGTCCAAAGGCTATACATAATTCGATCGCTGTACTGTATTATCCCTCTCCTCTCTCGTTCATTAAAGCCACACGCCATCTTATTCTAGCTTTCCTTCAGCCTTGATCTTCTTCATACGCTCTTTGATTATCTGCACAACATGCTCAGCATAACCTGGTCCTAGTGGCGGTTTGGACACAGTTATATCTATCTTTAACCAAGGCACTGAACTGACCCCCCGGTATACTTGGCGCATTTTATTGATTTCCTCATTACTGTAAAGAGCCCCTAGAAAGATAGCCACAGAAGGCTTGGAATATTCTATGGTGCCTCGATTGGGCTCTTCAGCTATGGGAGGGGTAAGCCCTTGCAGCAGGGGTATTTCGACCGCTCCTGAGGTGCTACTAGTGATGTTGTGTATAACTACAGATGATATTAGCCTTGAATATGTACTTGAACAGTGACTAATTGAATTTATCACCCACTTTCGTACTCAGGTAAGTAAAGAGGTTTGACAGCGTTGAAAACCTGCGGGTTGGTACTGCCACACGTAATGACTTGTAAAGGTAACATTCTTTGCGAGATTAATTTATGATCAAAAGAACGAGTTATGAAATAAACAAAATCTTGTTTAGGATATAGGCATTTATAACCTTCAGCGAGTGAAATGAAAATGATCGTCACTGCAACTGCTATTGGCTGGCCGAATCAATTCCCTAAACGGGACAAGGCTGAAGTTTGCTGACGCGATCAGTTCGACCCTCCCAAGGCCCCCCTCTAGAAAGCGAGCTTAACCTACCACTTTGGTCAGAATTAATTGAGACAAGCCGGGTCCAAAGAGAATACTGAATGCCGGTTAATATAGCCGAAGTTGCTATTCTTGCCGACAGCGACGCTGTAAGGTAAGGAGGTCCTGGCATATGCGAATACGTTGTGTCCACTGATCAATCGAGTTCCAGTGTGATCTTGCAAGTCCTTCGTGAGAGCAGGAATCTCCTGTTTGGGCTATCAAGATGAGGTTAGCATACGCTTCCGCATTGCCAATAATTCGTCGTTTTAACCGAGCACAAAACATCATTGTCGGAAAACACGTTACCACGGCCTGCCAATAGCCAAAGCAGACCCAGCCAAAGACAGCTACATTCCTTCTGTCTAGATAATATACGAACCTCCCTAAGTATAGAGTTACAGTATAATCTATTAGTCCTAGATAAGTTCTCGGTCGAGCTTATAGATATAAGTATAGACAGTAGCATATTCGCTATTATTCTACACATTATATCTACCTCACAAGAAGGTTCCTTAGACTATAAAGTCTGCGATACTATTATATATATATATCTAACTAGTACAATAGGGATAATAGCTATGATAGTTAGCAGAAGTTAAGCCTATAGGACCGCACTAAGGACCGTCAATACAGCTCTAAATAATCCTATTTCATATAGAATAACAGTAACTTATTAGTGATTTAGATATTTATTGTTTATAAGGTATAAACTATTCATCAGTAAAGAATTAAAGACAAGAATACTGATTAATCTAAAGTTTCTATCAAATCCTAACCTTACCTCTATTACAGGATCAGAGGAAGAAAACTATTACTATCGAGGCATAGCTGATTTGATTAATCTCTGGGGCTCAGTATAATCTTCTAGAGAGGACACGCAAAATCTTATCTGCTTCGTCTGTTATTATACCGTACAGCCTCTTGAATCTATATTTTTAGTCCGTATCTCTAACAATACTAGTAAGCCGAAGCACTCATCACCAGCCGAGAATCCCCTATCAAGATGCTAAGCTAGATTAACAAACACTAACATTATATAAACTATCTGATTATACCCTAGTTCAAGCATATACTCTTGACTACTACTGCACTTATCTTCTCAGTCATATTCAAAAGATAGTAACTAGTAATTCGAATCTAGTGATAGCCATATACTTGTCTATATTGCAACAGATAGATAAGATAGAGAGAATTTGGAGTTCTTCATATAATTCAGCATATCCGTCAGCACAGTCTATTGGAGTGCATATATATCAAGGAAATTTTCAAAAATTTCTCTCGGCAAACATTTTAAACTTTCTGCTCTGTACTTTCTAAGCCAGTTGCTTACGACAGCAGTATATTCAATTCACTGTGATACATGAAAATTGCATTGCAACTTTTCACACCACAGCCACAAAGATCTTAAATATGCAGGGTATGTTATAAGGTATTGGTCACTTACTTAGCGACAGGTCCAGTCTTTGATAGGCAGATGCAGTTATGGTTTACAGATCATTAAGGACCATCGCAATATCTCCTATTTCGTTAGGCTGGCAGAGAAATACGGCGAATTAGATTTGTATAATAATCAAGGAGCGACTTGGTTTTCAATTTTAGCTATAACTAACTTCATTGTTTTTCAATCTTATATTATTTCCCCTTCAAGACAGACTACAAAGGCCAGAAGGGATACTGCCGCGTTCGGGTCGCGGACGGCGGTGACGACAGTGTTGTTGGACATGTCAGGAATTGCGCTGGACACGAATAAACCTTTTCACTTATTCGTATTTGAGAGAATTTTCGAGATGATGGGATTACTGGGCCATAGATTGGTTTCCCTTTGACTTTCAGATCACCAATTGATTGTAAAGATGACAATGCTCCTTTCCTTCTTGGAAGAATGTATTTGCAGCTAAAGGAAAGGTATAAATCGAAGTCGAATAATTTGCGAATAATGTTGAGATAGGTATATTGTATTGTGTTAATTTGACTTAAGCAGCTATCATTACAGGGGCAGGGTGTCTCATATATATCTGTTCTCAGTCCCTGCCATAAGCTTTCGCCACCGTCATACTCAACAAATAAGCAAAATTTATTCGTTCATTCGTATTCGTGTCCAGCCCTAGTCAGGAAGGTGGCCAGGATGCCGTGGCCGATGCCTAGGAGGAATGTTGCTTTAGCGGTGTGATCTGAGCACCGCATTCAGAAAGGGAACATGCCGCGGTTGGGTCCCTTGATGAGGGTGATAGGAGGCTTCAGCCATGGTTGTCTTTACACGCGGAGAGTTGCCAAGCCGCTCTGTACTGTCACTTATTGACTTCCGATACGTAGCATCCGAGTACAACTAGAAGACGGTACTTGGTTGAGGCTTTGCACCCATCGCGATTCTGGCGTCCAAATGAGTGGCGTCAGCAAAGTTTAGCTTTATCCCACTTAAGAAATCGATTCGGCCAGCCAATAGTAGCTGCAGGGACGATCATCAGTGTATCGCTTGACCACGAATATAGATACCTTCACCAAAACAAGATTTTCTTCATTTCAAGCATGTTCTCACATTCATAACATTATCTTGTCCACAATGGAGATAATGCCGCTAAATTTCGTCATTTCATATACTTAAACATCTGGTTGAATCATATTTGTGGTGAAAATTATCATATGAGTGGTCCTTATACAGGTGTCGGACCATCAGGTTGCGTAAAATTTTCAAAAAAGAATGACATTTTTACCTAAGCTAGTCACGTGAATGCAATGAGGGTCTCCCTTGGACCTGGGCCAGTCTATTGGTTGTTGGCCGTGGTAATTAGTTCGACCCTATCATCCAGCAAAAAATGAGTTCCGCTGGAACTGGGTGGACAGGTGGCCTGAACGCGAACGGGACGCCTTGTTTAAAGCTTTCGGCAGTAGGTTTAATTCATGGGCCAAGCCTATTTAATGCCACTGATTCTGTCGTGATAACCACCGCATTTCCGCACAAAAATGCTCCTGAGATTCGTTTGGATGGAATTATTCTATAATTGACTCTCTTCGCTATCCCAAGATGACCGACCAAGTCAAATACAGGAATGAATATCTGCTGGTCAGATCCGCGGCTGAAAGTGAAAGGTTCGTCGTCCAATTTCTGAACAATAATGCAAAATTTGAACGCTGATGAACCTCGTGAATTCAGATTGGAGCTGCAGTATAAATCCTGACAAGCGAATATCGGGTACCTTCTACATGGGGCTATTGAACAGCATGGCCATATGCGAATCGCAGACGTTGGTACAGGAACAGGGTTAGTCAACCGTTATTATTGCTTGGAGCTAAAAGGAATTTCGTGTTAACTATTTCTTAGGATATGGCTCCGGGAGCTTGCGGAGGCTCTGCCAGAGAACTGTCAGCTTGACGGGTTCGATCTGTCAGACGCTATGTTCCCGAGCCAGGACGAATTGCCAAGAAACATTAAATTTTATCATCAAAACTTACTCGAGCCGTTCCCAACCGAGCTTATTGGTCAATATGATGTTGTCAATATTCGATTGATGGTAGTTGCGCTGTCTGCTGGTGAATGGGGACCAGCTGTGCGTAATTTGATGACGCTTCTCAGTATGAAAAGCCTCAAATCTAACGCTTTCAGAAAAAAAGCTAACAAGGGACAGAGCCTGGTGGATGTCTGCAGTGGATTGACTGCATTGCACATGAGTGTGTCATTAAAGGGGTGCCAGAGGGAAAACAAGCTAACCATGCCTTTTACTTTCACGACCTATTCCGCCGAGTCTTAATATCTCTTGGCAAAACCCCAAAGTAAGCTTGAATATTCTTGTCCATAATAGTGTTAGAGATCTAGTGGTGGAACTGATCTTATTTCCTTTTAGCATTGCCGCCCTGCACGGGATTTTCCAGGACAGCGGTCTGGAAGCCTGTGAAGAAGACATAATTACCCTGGACCGACCGAGCGCACGGGAGGAACTGAGTCTTACGGTGGTTGATGGGATAAATAATTGTCTAACCGCGGCTCTTGGGTTGCACGAGTTGGATCAAGTAGAATCTGTTGATGAGATTCAGCAGCTCAGAGAGAAAGCCTTAGGTGATTTGCATAGCACCGGGTGCTACTACTGTTACGACGCTTATGTCATATTGGGAAGGAAAGCAGGAGTCACTAATTAGAATTTTAATGGACCTTGTTCACTTTTGGAGTAGATAAGGTTGCATCTTACAAGACATGGTACTAACATCTATTTTCCGCCCTTATATTGCGGCCTGTTGAATCGTTTTATCATTGATTATATGCTAGCTTGATTGAAACTGCAGTTTTAATCTCGATAAAAAAATATTCTTAAGTCGTATCCGAGGATTTTAACGTCGCTTCAACATTTGTGAGGCAGCTACCACAAACACAACAACGCATTGTCTCAACTTTCATAAGCATGAGTTTTAATCTGTCAAAATAGGTTCAGACGATTACTTCGATATGTAGCATGAAAATAAATTCGGCGGCGTCATTTAACTTGTTCTCAACGATGACAATTGCTCATTTCGGTCTCGGATATTTGACGCCAACATTGACCAGCCTATTTTTAATATGAGGATGTTGAGATATTTTGTTTTCTTGCTTCCACTACCATCAATTTCTGTCCAATATACTAGTCTCAAAGTGTTGTTTTACAAGAAGAAAAATCGTATGCCTGAGCCATGCAAATAATACTGATACTCGAAGATATGATTCCCGGCGATTGGCATAGTAGGGCCGACCTCAAATGGGGGACGAGCAAGCAGGAAACAATGGACAGATGCGGCATTTTTGAGTGTTGCGTTGAATATTTCCATGAAACCTCCTTTGAAATATTACATATCTCGAAGTACCAAACAAGGACTCATGTTACGATCATTTCCCGTCAATCCCTTTTGCCGGTTCATCTCCTGGTGATCATCCCGGCCCACCTGCCAGACTGGCAATTAAGGCGATGGATAGAGAACCTCTATGTGATCCCCCCGATGCGATCATCCCGAGACTTGTCTCTAAGAAACACGATGCACCGTACCAGCCGTCTCAGTATCCCAAGAAATACCACCCAAGCCACTAGGAACGATGCTTGAGCAATGTAGCTCGGACGATTTATGGCCTTGCGAAAACACAAGCCCCCTCCGAATCCCTTGGCGACTCGAGACTATTCTCGTCCCACTCAACGCCACGCATTGCCTCAGCAGTTGGCATCGATACAGTGTCTTGGAGCCCTTTGCCAGCCCCGCATATCTATTCTGGAGAATATATCTCGATAACAGGACTTGGAATATTGCACACATTACATTTCGGAGAGATACAAAGGTGTAGAAGCACCCTTTCGGGCCGCCCTGGGGCATGGCATCGTGCTCTCATCACAAGAAATTACCACAAGAAGATATCGGCTCGGGTTTGGTATGACAGCCCTTGCCAAATAGGCACCGTGAGCACATATTATAAGGCCAAAGCTTGCAGAAATGCTAACAGGTAGTGTGTCTGTATTGCCAAAATAAATGTAGATTTTGATGCTTATTTGAGGTTCTGTTAATTGGTGGCGCTTCACAAGAATAGTGACCTCCTGAGATTGTCATCCTAGAAAAAGGGCTCTCTCAAAACAAGGCTCTTGTCTTTATCAGCTCTCTAAGAAGGACTTTTCAGGACCCAATGATACTTATAAAGACGGATCCTGGTTTTACTATGCATGACCGGACGTATTGGAACGCCGCTCTCCTGTACGTCCCACAACGAGAGCAGCTAGGGAAATCAGTTTCTCCTCCTTCCCAAGGCCTTCTACAGTCACAATATTCTTCTCTTTATGTGCGGAAATCAAGAATATTGTATTCGTATCATCAGCTGTTGCTGTACGGTAACGGTAGACTAGGTATAGGCTCCTGAGGTTCACATTATAGAGCGTATATCCTTTGCATTCTGACTAAACTTAAGAATGAGAATCGACAAGAGCAGGAGGGAGAAAACTGGACTTTGTTGTGATATATACAATACTTCTGTGATGAGCTGGTCAATCAATTATTCGCGCCAAGGCCTTGGCAGTAGGGTTAGGAAACAGTTTCTCAGTGTACGTTCGTTAGGGCGATTTCGGGAATCACTGTACTATGAGATTTCCCATCGCAACGAGGTAGTGAATGTACATAAAAATATTAACAGCACCGCAGATAAGCTCAGCACCTGTTCACCGTATTCCGCTTGCTACCCATCCATTCGACGGGCCCGACAACGTAGGTCGCTCGAAAAAAATATTTTGGGGACACAACGTTAAATATGGGGGTTCGGGAACACCGTGTACTATGCAAAAGATAAGGTAAGAAAAGTCCTTTGGACCGAAATCGATGCCAGTAGTATCAGAAGGGAAAAAACGGGCCATTATATCAAATACAGGCTAATACCTGGGTTCGCATACCAATATATCCGAACGACGTTGAGTGTCGTCGAATAATCATCACCGAAATGAGCATTTATCATCGTTGAGAACAAGTAGAGGCCGCAGAATTTCCTTTTATGCCACATCTTAAAGGAACCCCCAGTATCTTTTTCGGCTAGTAGAAATTCTGTTTATGAAAGTTGACACAACGCGTTGTTGGTGTTTCCACCTGTGGAAGCTGCGCCATTAATGTTGAAATGATGTTGAAATCCCGGAACAAGACTCCAGAATAGTTTTCTATTGAGATAAAAAATACAGTTCAACCCAAAGCAGCATAGAAACGGTAACAGGCCACATTGTGAGGGCCAGCTCGGTCAAGACCCTCACAACACCGCCTTTAGCTTGTCTACTCTCGATAGGGAAGTAAGTTCATGGCAGATATGTGCATCAACCCTAGCTCCTGATACCATGCTGACGGGAATATTCCTTGAGAACCATCCCTGCATCTAGTGTTCCCACAAATAGAGTCGACGTCTCTTCCCTGCCTGGATTTGGCAATCTTACTCGGGTTGTGAGAATAGTGAGTAATGCAGAATCTCCATGTGATCTCTATTGACTATTTACGATAGATCGCGCCGAAAGCAGCCCTGCACATTGATTGAATGCTGGCATAATAACCCAATGCTCCCCCGGAGCTGGTTGGTAGGATTTTATCAGGCTTCGTAGTCGGTCATCGGCTGACGATTCGCGAGGTTTGTAGGCAATGCTTACATACAGCACAAACTTCACGCGGTTGGTCAATGCTCCCGATCCTTTCCACCGTCGCCAGCAGAATCACACGCCGTGGAGTCCTTCCTGGCGTATTGCCATTACTATTGCCTTTATTCATGGCTATGAGGTTGGATATGGATCTCGGTTGGGAACTTGCCTATTACTAACCTGAATGAATTGCCAATTTTTCTTTTCCTTTGTAGGTTCAAAGACAATATTGCGCCCGACGCGACCGAGCCGGCCCGACGCACTACGTCACGTGGACTCAATGCACTGCGATACACCCGCCTCTCGTGCTGGACGAGCCCGATGGTGCCGGCTATTGACTTATAGTACACTTGCGCTCCCATCGCCATAGACATCTGTTGGAACGTGGCCGCTTCGCTCGACGTATACATGGGTTTCAGCTCGCGAGGGCTCGGTATCCTCCGGTTGGGCAAAATGTAGTATTGCTGAAGGTGTTTCCCCCAATGGGAGCCTCCCATGTTCATCCCAGTGACCGGGACATTCAACAGGATTGTACAGATGACAACCCGCCCACAGGTTTGCTGACTAAGACCCAACTCGTTGGTCTGGGTTTTCGTGGGCGGATTTTGGCGAGGCCTTGACTACTACTGGTGACGTCACACTTAATGTCACGACAAGCTCTTCCCAATTCCTCACTTCACAATGCTTGTCCCGAATACGTTACTTATGTGGGTTTACGCGATTGTGAAAACTTCACATTAGCCTGGCCCGAAGACGCGATAACTCGATTCTCTGGCGACAAGTGTTCGTCGCTTACTCGAACCGACCATGCAAGAGACAGGGAACTCTCAAAGTCCTCATCTTCATTATCCCTTCGAGCACGTCCCATCGCCAGATCGCTCTGTTTTGACCCACTATCATCACACGATAAGGGATGGTATCAGAGACAAGCATGATTTCCGAGGCCTTGGTATTGTTGACGACCTGACGGTAGTATTGTCCAGATGGGGTTGGTCAACGTCGCAGGATTGTAAAGGTCGTTCCCAGTCGGGAGCAAACATCTCAAATCAAGGGCTTACAAGGCTGACAACTGCCTCAAGCTCAACGGATAAGCGTTCTGATCGAGATGATTCGGCCCAGGCCCAGAGGATCCCCACAGCGACCACCCAATCAGAGCAGACATCATTCACAGGAGACTATGGGGTATTCACCAAAGTCCTCTATTACAACAATGCCAGCACCGTGCAACTTTTCGAAAAGAAAGAACCAGCTTCCCAGCCAATATTATCGCCGACACGACTCCGGAAAGGGTCCATGCTGACGAAATTAAAGCATGCTTCTATGCCGAAGCCAATAATTAGGGAACTCTATGCAGTCAGAGTATTTCACCATACCAAAGCCAACTTGAGCTGGGTGCCTAATCTTCCACACAACGGAAGTAAATGGCCTCCCCTATCTAATCCAAATGTTGTCTCCCTCATCGATATTCTTTACAATAAGCAAGGAAATATTTGTCTTGTCATGCCCTACTATAGTGGTGGGAACTTGCACGACTTTCTGCAACAAGAAGCGAGGGCCAAAGACAACCTGTCCCTCGAGGAAATCAACTGCTTAGATGTCCAGATATTGCGTGCAATAGGCTTTTTACACGAAGAGGGGATTGCCTATGGGGACTTGAGGCCAGAACATATACTCCTCACGGCCCGAGGTGCGGTGAAGGTGGGAGGCTTTGGAGAGGATGAAGATGCAGTGCGAGAATTAGTCACATTCTCCCGTCGTAAAGATTCTACCACTCCTCAGTCGGGACTCAGCTTTGGAAAATCCCGAAAATCTAACTCTAAGTTGCTCCTGTGTGTACGAAGAAGTGTGTCGGAGTTGAGTACTCCTTATCTACCTCCGGAAAGGTTTTCCGGTCGCCGTGACTCTGTTCGTCAAGGCTATACCCACCAAAGTATTTACGATGTTAAGGCAGGTGACATATGGGCATGTGGTATGATCTACATGATCCTACAGTCTGGCCGACTTCCGTGGCACACCACCAGAACAGTGGATCCTGACAAATCATATACTGAATATCTCCATTGCCGTTTGAAGCAAGATGGATATGGCCCTATACAGGCTCTGGAAAATGTAAGTTACAGATCCGATTGCGCCAGATTCCACACGCTCAACATGAATATAATATCTAATACTTCACAACACAACAGAACTGTCGGAATGTTATTTATGCCATGTTACATCCTGACCCGGGTCTAAGGATTACAGTAGAAGAGATTTTGAGCTCCGAATGGGTCCTGGGAACTGCTGTTTGCGAGGTTGGGGAGAAGGGGTTGTAATAATCCTATCATTTTTTTGTTTTTACCTCCAAATATGGGAATGAACTTACATTCCACAGCCATTGGGAATGCTCTTGGCAGATTTCAATGCATTGTCGCAGGCCCACGTAACTCCCAGGAGATACGCTTTATTCAGATGCCGGCCGACGATCTATATACTGACCGGGGCTCCGACTAGTCTCCCGGGAAATCTGCCTATCGTATAACTCAGACCAAGATTGTTCGCAAGACGAATATTTTCGCTTCCTCCAGATCCTAGTTTCAACCTGCTTATGGCCTTCATAGTCTAGCGTTACGTTCTTTGTGTTGGTGCCACGTGTAACTAGGAGATATCTGAAATCAGCATTTCGGGCAATTCAAATTTTGGCCTCTGAAATACTTCGTCTCCGATTTCGGGTCAAACATAGACCACAGCAAGGGTAAATATAATCAAATCCTCAGAAATCATATTGAGTCAATTTATGGAAGGTCTATCTGGAAGAGCCAGGATTGTATGACCACCCTATTACCCTTGTCCCAGCTAAAAAAATACAAGTAGATTAAGACAACAGCCGGATGGAAGGCCCAAAAATGCGAAATGTAGGCTCTCGATTCGCTCTGGCGAGAGAGGGTACTGGAAGTTTAACTGCCGGATTGTCTAAAAAATTACCTGGCAGGACAAGGAATTGTTGTAATGGCCTGAACATGTCCAATAGTATCAGATGATTGTTTGAAGGTGTTGAGATTGGTTGAGCGATCTCAGGGGTCTCTTGATATATGGCTTGCTATGAAACCATACTAGGACGAATTGGGTGAACGATGAATAAGCCTATCCTGAAGGGTCCTAGTGGTAATTGACCACCCCCTCAGTTCATCAAACAGTAGTAAGCACAGAGGCCAGTATGAGCAAACATGACTTGAGAGCATTAAGGATCTGAAGCTCCTCTATAATAGTACTGATAGAGCTTAATCTTGTCGACTCACAATGTTTGTAAAGCTTACTTCGTAAGTTATTAGCTAATATACGTCGAATATACAATAAAGTAAGAGGTTTACTTAACCGTATTAATATTCCAGCCGATATATACTGCTAAATACAACGTATAGCAAGATTACAGGTTCGGTTAACTAAGGATATTAATCTCTTATACAATATATTAGAGAACTAATTACCTAAAAACCTACAACTATACGTAAATCCTAAAAGTAATTAGGTAAATTTAGTACTCTGACTACTAAAGATACTGTTCGTTTTGTAAATGATCGAAAAACTAAGGATGAACGAAAGGAATATAATACGGCTATCCGAAACCAGACACCTTTAGGTACTTCTGCTATCCCACCCTAATTACTTTTGGACAAACGTACCTAGATTATATACTGATAAACGTTATAGATAACCCCGTTACTTTTTAAAATATAATATTCATAGTGGTGGTGGTGGTAGTAGCTAGAATAGCAATTTTATAATTGTTGAGAGCAGAATTTTATTGACCCCCGGCTAACCCACTCCCAGGGGGAGTAGGTCGGCCTTAGGCTTCAGGCATCCCAGTATGCCGCCTAACTAATAGATCAAAGTCATTATTTATATAACTGCTTCAATCTGGCCAGAAGACAGTAGGCAGCAGCAGCTAACAGCGTAAGTTTTTACTAGATTATTTCAGAAGTTTTGAGAGTAGTTAGCCTGTACTGAAAATTTCTGCAGAGGAAGTCAAACAGTCCATTATAAGCCGCTTAATATTGTATAAGTTATCCTAATGTATTACCTCTGCCTATCCTTATAGCCAGGGCTATATTGAGAACCTTGATACAGATGCTGTCAACTTATGGTTTGGTCTTATTATGATCTCTGTCTATTGGAAAATATTGCTGATACCTCTTTCTAATTATAGAATAAATACTAAGATAGTACTCACTATACCTAAGCCGTACTTCTCTATTGTCCTGAAAATTAAGGATCTATGATAAGTCGAGATACTGACTCTCAATTTGTTTCTACTTCGCTGTTCTAAGATACCTGCTTGAAACTTCTATTTTTCTTATATTGACGGGACAAATCCACAAAGGCCTAGTGCCCTTTGATTAGCTATATGGTAGAGTTCTAATATATTTTTATCTCTCCTAGCTTTATCCTGTCCGACTAAAGGTTGACTGTTACTGTTTTAGAAACTTTCTATTTTCCAATAGATATGATCTGGTCCTATACTAGACTGACTAAGCTTTTATAGTATTCAGTGACAATAAAGAATAGCTAAGTATCGATAACCACTAAGAAAGACTATAGTTTCTCTAGGAATAATATTAATCAGTAATAGATCAAGCTTTGGCTATAGGCTTTTAGCTAGCTCTATCAAACCCTGATTATAGCTAAGTAAGCGATAAGCTAGGCTACAGTACTAGATCTACCCTAGATCTCTTATAGTAAGAGTAATCGTTATTAGGTTAGTTCCCAGTTTACTCTAGACAGAATACTATGAATATCTCCTCTAGCAAGACTTTATTTTGACACAGTTGAAGATTTACCTAGTATACAAACAAATAAAAATGAAACAGCTACGTATTAGAAGATATAGCCTATACCTGTTCCCTGCGGAATAGAGTGATCCTAGGCCTTGTGTATATATGATCAAGCTGACGCCTGATATATTATCTCTAGTTTGCCTATACTAATGCTAGACTACATTACAGTAAGTCTGTACTATCCTTAGTCACCAGAAATCATACTGATATAGAGAGCTAGTAAAATATAGTCCTAGTCTGGCTATTCCTATAAGTCTGATCAGGATAGTATATTATAGCTGGGTTAAGAAGATCTTATCTAGGCTATAAGTACAGTGAGTAGCGAATATATATCTTATACTAATTGCTGATAATTAGTGCTAGATTAAGTATATCTAATAGTAAATTACTTTGGCTGTGTCCTAATACAGACAGCAATTCAAAGCTACTACTACAACCTATTCTATAAACAATGCTAGTAAGTAGGTTCTTATTACTGAAATTTTAGGTAACTATCTGACTATATTGCTAAATTACTGATATAGAGATAACTGTTTTCTCCTAAATACGGCCACGAGCCAATTAGATACTCTCTCCTTAATATTACTATTAAGCAACACAGACTCGCTAGCAGAAGCAGCCTCATGAAGCTTACAGCTAGTCGGTTATATTGACGGTCATAATCTCCTGATGATCCTAAAAGTAGAAGATTAGTTTTTGATACCAGATGTTGAAGGTATGTTTGTTGACTTTGAATGTAGCCGCTGATGTTTCTTTTAGTGTGGGTATGTCACATGTGTCCTACGCGACGCGCTACGATGGGTCAGTGTACACTGCCTTGTCCCCCGTGGCACACGTCCGAATACCGGCGGATGCTGACTTCAGTTAATATGCCTACGTGACTACAGAAGAGAGGATTCACTATTCTTAGTTGAGGTGGAATAAAGTCAGAATCACCTGTAGAGCGAATGCTCAGGAAATAACTCTGAAAAATTCAAGTGGGTCGTGATTTCAAGGGCAAACTATATGAGCGACCGGAGTACAGTAAGGACTTTACCATACACTTCACATAGTTTTTGAATTGGCAACCCATGTTGATTGTACCATCACGCAACCCCTAGCTCATAGTCGAGTTGTTTCAGAAATGAGACTACATACACAGTGTTTTGAATACACTGCACTTTGCTGTACTACCGGATTGAAGCTGATGGACATCATCATTTAACACTGTATATCAGCTTTCGAAATATTGGTAGAGGAACGGTGATCTGCGCTATGACGGCGATGGGTGATTACCGGTTGCAGCCACTTCACCGTTCGGCTATCGCGCCGCACTGCACATAAACAAATGGACTCACTGGTTCCGTCCCCATCAGTCCATCCTCACTGTTTAATATCCCGGTTACTGAGATAATCGTGGGGGCCAGGATCACGTGCATACATTATACCTGTCGACCAGCCTACTTGTATCTAAACAACATACAACAACATACAATCAACTCCCCTCAATAACATGAACACCGAGGCAACCTTTGTCAATAAACAAAACCCGCGATAGGTTCCCCGTGGGCGGGTAGGAAAAATGAAAGTCCGCCCTGAACCCGCGGTTGGTGAGGTCTACTTTCCCCACTCACACGTGATCAATGAGGTCACATCCGCGAAATCCACTCAGCAGTTAAACTTTATTGTCAACATGAAAAATAATTTTCAACCTCAATGACCGTCAGGCGCACCTTTCTCATCTGGAAGCCGAGATAGTGGGCTCAGAATGGCCAAGGTTACCTGCGAAGCCCCCGTCCAGGGCATTGTCGGAGGATACACCGGTAACAGCTTCGCGGTTCAAGCCACCATCTCTGGCCTGCTAAGCTGCGCCCTGTACAGCGCTCTCGAATTGATCCTCCTGATTTTCACGGTATTCAGTAGCTACCACGGCCTTTATTTCTGGAGCCTACTCATGTCCACATTGTTGGGTGTGATACCCGATGCGCTCGGCCTACTATTGAAGTACTTCGAGCTCGCTACAATCTGGATCTCCGTCACACTATCAACGGTCGGATGGACTATCATGGTAACCGGCCAGTCACTAGTACTTTACTCACGGCTGCACCTGGTAATCCTGAATACTAGAGTGCTGAAATTCGTGTTATGGATGATTATTTTCGATGCTATTACCATGCAAATACCGCAATTTATTGCCTCGTACGGCGCAGTCTATGCCTGCCATGGGCATTTTACGCGCTTCTTCAACACCTGGGAGAAAGTTCAGCTTACTGTATTCTTCGTACAAGAAATAATCATCTCCACAATCTTCATTGTCGCGACTACGAAAATTATGCGTTTTAATCCGACGAGAATCAAACGAAGATCCAATATCATGTACCAGCTTCTTCTGATCAATTTTGTCATCATTTTGATGGATGTTTCACTTTTGGTACTGGAATACATGGGGTTATTTATCATTCAGACAGTGCTGAAGTGCTTTTTCTATACTGTCAAGCTTAAGCTGGAGATTGCTGTGCTGTCGCGGCTAAAATCTTTTGCTCGAACGGTTTACGACCAAAACCCTGAATTGAGCGGATTGACTTAATGCCCAGACTCAATTATATGTACACATAGGCTGTTGGAACAATGGGTGCCTACCTTCGAGTGGTTTCCGGTTTTAATCCCCAATGGGGAGGCCAAAGTGAATCCGCAGTAGTTGTGCGATCCGGCCCGGTGCGATGCACTTCGAGTGAATATGTTTGCATAGTTCCCTCCTGTCGAGACATTACTCGTATGGACAACTTTTGATAATGAGGTGGCATCGGGAGAGAGAAATTGGCCTTGCTGCCCATCGGGAGCTTTAGTTTTGCAAGTGTCTTGCTGGGGCTCGCGCGTCTCGTGGAGTCGTTCTTGAGATTGTGTCTACCCGTCCTCAAGAACGCTGTCTTTTCGCTTCAACCATTTCTTTGTTTGCGTTTGGGACCCCCAATGATCGAGACATAAAAAGCCATCCTCTTCATAAGTACAAAGGGTCGGTCTCCCGCGGTCAGAACAAGCCTGGCAGGAAGATGCCTCTCGATTATATCCCTTTTTGGAATCGCGACACTGGATGCAGGGCCGCCTTAATTAACTCCTAGCGCTTGAAATTGGCATGGTGTGAGCATCTGTCATGGCAGTCATAGCTTAGACAAAGAGTCTAGCTCGGTATCTCTTGTCACTTCGAATAACGACCGAGCAATGTTATTGAGCACACTGAGCACCACCGACTCAGAAATCTCATTTCTCGAAGACACGCAACATGATATTGTGAAATCCTCAACGGAAGCCACACTACTGCTGCTATATTTATATGAGAAACTGCAGCCATGAAGGGCAATATCTATAACATTCCTCCAAGACAGTGGTTGTGGGTTGTGCAATTTTCGACAGGAGAGTCGGCGGACCTGTTGACGTACTTCAGCCTCCAGTGGTTGATCGAGTCGCTACCTTAGACGATAAGGTAATGTTTGTAGTACTGAAACGGCAGAAAACGCCCGCCTTGGCTGTCTATCTATCTACACATTGACTTAGATGAAAATGGCTTGTGAGCTAGTGAACTAGCGACCGCGACATAGTAGGAATGCAACATTGAAGTGATCCTGGGAGTTTGTTCGATATTTCGAGAAGCAAAAAAGCTCCTTAGGTTGCCAATGCTGATTTTCGAAGCAGCAGGCTGGCCTTAGAGCTCTCGGCCAGCTTCAGGAACTCCGTGCTAATACCAATTTATAGTTACGAATGCGGTACCGCAACCAGAGCAGCGGGCTAGCCCGAGGAAAGGGAGCCATGAATCTTAATCCGAATCCCCCACCAAGCTGTTATTCTTTCCTCTGACTTTGTGCAAACCCTCAGTCTCAGACACCTGACAAGCACTTATGTCAAATTATGGTTTGTCACACCTTCCCGTGGAACAGTGCCGTCTGGAGGTCTAGAAGGAAATAGTCGCACATACAAGATTTGCCCAAGGAAATCCTGTTTCTCATAAACATGCACCTCCACGGCAGCTCACTATGGTCCCTGTCCCGTTTATCAAATAAAAAAAATACCACAGGAGAGCAAAACCAGAGGCCATCCCGGTAGAGTAAGTCCAGACGCTATGCCAGTGGAAGGACGACTGGACTCTGAGTTTGTGGGTGACGCTGTCTTCGTGCTGGTCGACCCACCGCTTGACCTTGAACTTGTGGATGTTACCGTGGCAGTAGCAGAGAAAGCTGTCAAATTTTGCCATCTCTCAACCACATATTGAACCATGGTGCTGTTGTATCTTTGAAGGTAGAGACCGTGAACCGCATCAACATGGCCTGCGTCGCAAAATCTGTCACCCTTGTCACACCATGATGTCATGCGGTCGGTGTATTTCTTGCACACGGTGTTATTCGTTCGCGAGAAGATCTATTGAGAAACGAGAGAAAAGTCAGTTGGGCCAAAAATGTTAATATATTTGCCCCCAGTGTTACTGCTTACTCCGTTGTGAACACTTGTGCCGCGATCATAGGTTGTGTTGGCAATGTGCGTTGGGTCGCCAAACAGGACGGCGGCAATAACTAAATCTAGGTCAGCTTGAGCAGATTCTCGAAAGAACAAGAGGCACTGACCACTGTTTTTAACGACATCTGGCGATAGCGGTGCATTATGGTTGAAATCGCCACCAGCGCCACCACAAAGGACATCAGAGACTAATTGAGCGCCCTAGTAATCAGTGGGTCAGTATCTCCATCAGTAATTTACGCAATCCTCTTGTCACATACCTGCGAGTAACCCAAGAGGGCCATTTTTGAACCCGGGCAGGACGAGTGGTACTCATTTGCCAGCTGCAGCATCACATTTGCCCCGTCATTCTCTGACTGCACATAGTCATTCAGCGTTGCAGCGTATTCCACGCCCATGATACTAGAGTCCTTTATTTGTGCTGCAATGAGCTGCGCCAGATACCCAGGGCTCCCGGAGTTCTCGGGGTAAAGCCCATCCTTACTGGCAGCTGCTGGTTCTCCAGTGCCTCTGGCCACAATCATGTAAAGGCCATCAGTGCAGTTCGGGTTCTTTGTCGCTGTAGCAACGGCCAAGAACCCAATTGCGAGCAGGGTCCCACGCATATTGGGCAATGATATGATAGAGAGAATGGAATCTGCTGTCTTTGCCTTTGCCTAAAGAAGAATATTGGGACCTTTTCAATATTTACATATAAATACATGTATTATCAGGCGTCCCATCTGTTACGGGTGAGATTAGCATATTCTTGCAATCAACCTATTAAACATGTGAATACAGAGAGATGTGCTTTGGGCACCGACTCTGCCTTTATTTAGTCAAAACTCAGCTAAGCCTGGCTGTCTCCGCGACTTACTGGTTAGATTTAATTGGCCTATTTGGTAATTAGAGCCTCTAATTACCAAGCATGAAGCCTCTCGTTCCTAATTTGTCTCACCCCAGCTGGCTCTATCCACGAACTTGAAACTAATCCCTTATTTATTATTCTCACTCTCATCATGGATATTAAACGATATGACACGGGCGCATGGGCATATGTGCGGCTGTTGTCGCCTCAAACTTTGGCTACATTGAATTATTTTCGGACCCGGACACGTCATATAAACGACCTCTGGGCCCGGAGGAAGCCGTAGACAGAAACTTTGAATTAGGTCGGGAATCATTCAATCAAGAATTTTTAGATTCAATGCACTCTGTCTGACCCAATCCATATGCTAGCTGGTCCGGGTAAGTTATGTCTTGTTTGTTCATGATAAAAACAGGCATTCTTGTTGAGGATCATGTCCATGATCAAGAAATTGACATCTTCTGACATCTTCTGTTATACGACAATACAATATTAATATTCCACATCATCCCCAGAGTACGCTCTCATGTTATAACCAAGCACATCGGCACTATTGAAGGATTGCGTAGGGTATACATAATCAGCAGATGTAGCAGGAATATCTCACTGCATCTCATGGGGTTTATATTGAGCTGATAACTCTGCTGGCGCACTCTTCGCTGGAAGCTCTCCCATTTGAGCATTCTGCGCTGGTAAATATGCCTGGCGCTCTGAGACCTCTGGTGCTGTTTTGTTGGATTCCAGTAGACATGATCTGTATTGCTCTTAAGGCAGTGTAGAACAGGGGCGTGCGGGGAAAGGCTATATGGCAAGGCCATATAGTGAGAAGCGGTTTTGACCAGTGACATGTTGGACCAAATGCTGCTTGGTTGCTCGTTCCTATTTCAACCCACTGACCATGACGTGGTTGCCCACCTTTGGCCTTGATATATAATTGATTTCTTAACGGATCGGAATGATTATATTTACTTTGTTAATATTCAAACCTGAACTATTACTAGTCCCTTCTCCCCCTTCAGTGCGTATCAATAATCTGTAAGACGAGTTCAATCTCCATAAGGTCTAAAAAGGGTTTTCTCATTTTTCCGTTTGTGTGTGTGAACTGAAAGATGCCCAGAAAGTCAAAATCTATTGAAAAAACGTAAATATGACGAACCCTAATGATATATTTGCGACCATTTTTGGGTGTTAATGTCAGGATGAGGAGTGGGTGTACTGGCTAGTACGAGAGATGTCGAATAGAATCAGATGATTGCTTGATTGTAGGTGTTGAGATCGGTTGAACGATCTCAGGGGTCTCTATATTCAACTATGGCGTATTATGACACCATACTAGAAGGAAATTGGGTGAACGATGAATAAGCCTATCCCGAAGGGTCCTAGTGGTATTTGACCACTTCTTCAGTTTGTCAGTTAATGCTGTAGATAATATGCACTCCTGAGGCACAGTGCGTCATTTTGGCAGGTGAGCTGCGGCATTCAGCTTTCTTCAGATTGAACGATTATAGGTTGGAGGTATCTGACAATTGGGCGCCAACTTTGAGTAGGGTTGTGTTGTTTCACAAGATGCCCAAACTGAGGAGTTTATTCGCTACTGGTATCAAGCTGTTTCTATTAGCGCCGAATGGTCTTCCTAAAGTAGCCTAGCCCCCCCCCCCCCGGGTCCCAACCCCTCAACCCCGCGCATTTGAACCGCCATACCGCCAATTGTCCAGCCTGGAAGGGCTAGAAATACAGCACAGGGAAATCCGAATCAGTTTCTACTTTGAGAGACAAACCGAGTTTCTGCGCCCCGGAGTTTATCTTGTGCTAGTCAACTGTGTATGCAAATCTCATCAAAGATGCCAAACACTGGTAAACCCAGTCGTGATTGTCACCGCTGTCGACAACGACGAATTAAGGTGCAGGAGACCTGTGCAAAAGACCTGCCAAGAAGACTACCTAATAAATCTTACAGTGCGATCTCGAACGTCTGGGATGTGGCCAGTGCCAACGGAAAGGACTTCTATGCCCCGGGTATCGGGATGTTCTCGACAACCGGTTTCGGACAGAAACCGTGTCCTCATTCCTGTCGAAAAGAAGGAAACATCTGTGTGAATCCGGGAAACAAAATACAGGCTCTAGTAGCTCTAGCCAAGTAAAAAAGGACTCCGAAAATAAGCCACCCAACCCTGCTGACAACCAACCGAGGGTGGTTTTCAACGTCTGTCTCCAGGTTTGCCCCGGAGCTCAAGATAGGTGGCATGTAACTAATACATCCCTCTGTCTATGCAGGTCCAGACAAATTCGGAGCCCCAATACTCTATTTCCGAGTCATGGGATGATCACTTAATGCCCTTGGTCCTGAATAAGCTATCATGCGATGACGTTAACGGCAACCACAAAACTATCTTCAATGCCATCCCACGTGTGGTCTCCATCACTGATAAGGGCTCTGCCCTGTACCAAGTCTGCGACGCAATCGGCCGAGTCTATATAGCAAATATGACAAACTCTCCCACCGCAAGATTTCAACAAGTCTATGCCTACGGAAAGGCGATCACCGCCATTAATAGGGACCTCCGGGATCCTCAACGTTGCAGGGGCGATGAGATCTTAGTAGGCGTCTTCTTGTTGAGCATCTACGAGGTATCTCTATTAATCTATCTATCGCGTACTTAACTAATAGGTTGCCTTGTAGCTTCTTTCGAGCCCCGACTTCAGCCTCGTTATTAAGTCTCCCGGATGGTGTATCCACACTCAAGGGATGATAGCGCTGCTGGATCAAAGGCAAGAAAAAGCGTTTATAACACCAGAGAATCGGTCCCTATTTCTGACTATCTTCAATACTGTAGTAGGTTCGAATATTTATCTGCTTTTAAACTGATTGCCCTGGCATATCCCTAACACCAAACTTCAATAGCAAAATCAGGCCCTTATAACGAGTCAGGACTATTCCTGGGAGTTTGTCTCCTGGATACGTCATTTCTACAAACACTGTGAGCATGTCGAATTAAGTGTACTTCGTACAGCTATCTTCGCTTATCACTGCAGCCGGCTTTGTATTGTGATCCAAGATTTGATCGAGACAGGAAACCATGACTCGATCCTCTCTATGTACCCATCCATACTACACCACATAGAAAATTTGGAAACCGAAACAACACCTCTATCCCATGACAAGTGTCTAAGAGACTTTTTAATTGACCCTCTACAGACTGCAGTGATATTATCTGATTCAATTCGAGATTTAGGACTCTATGGATATCGGAGTACTTTCCGGCTTCAAGTATCCTCATTGGTGTATATACTTCTAGGATTTGCGTACCAAGCACCTACCTGTACACTGCAACAACAGGAGCAAATTCTCGTTGCCCAGCAACACTGTGTGAAGGAATTTCAGACTTTGGCGGACAAGGTTTTAGTCATGTTAGCTTCAATGTTCCAGTATGATGCTCTTCCTGAATCTTCTGGAGGATCAAAGAGCAAATTTATGCACTACAGAGTCGGGGTTTGGGACATATCCCGGCTGTGGCCATTAAGATTCATCCTCATCTCACCCATTTCATCGAAGCGAGAGAGAGATATGGCAAATAGTTTACTCAGAATGGTTCACCTACAGGCCAGATTGATCTAATTATCCGTTGCATTCCATTCGTTTGTTCTAATCTGGGTTCTTGCTTATATTACCGAATTTATAGCTAACTTATAAATTCTTAATGACCATCGATATTTCTGATATATTAGTGAAACCTGGTGGCGTATGCTTCGATTGTAAGGATTTTCCGTTGTGAATTATAAGAGCGGACGGCATTCCCCAGATATTTGCTACTGCTTTACATGCCGTTGCGAACGTGGCCTGGTTACAGCGCCTTTTACTGCCTCCTTATTACCATAATAGTATTAGCCGAATAACCTACGCACCAGTCATAATCTTTGATGTTGGCTCCTTCGAAATTGACCCTCTCTCACAAAATAGCGCCTAATCCTATTTCAGAGAGGAATCAATATGAAACAAGTGCCGGGTCTATCCAGTGTAGCAAAGTTGCTTTCTCTGTCATGCGCTTCAGAACAAATTAGGTAGTCCATTCGAACTCAGATATAGCTACATACGAATGTAGCGGCCTCACTAGACAAGGGTTATAGCTAGGCTCAACCTCGGTCTGCACTATTGGACCCATATTTTGCTTTAGCTAGCCTAAGGGACCTAGAGCAGCGGGCCTGACTGCTGGGAGGTAAGGATATCTTATATATAGGCAGAATTTGCCCTACCAACCCTACTGCTCTTAGTTTTTATAATGTAACTACTAAGGATTTCCCTGATATAATTACTCTAAGAATTTTATAAATTCTAGGTTACTGTATATACTGACAGTAGTTTTAATCCTAGAAGCTACAGTCTTTTGGGGTACTCGTACGAACTAACCCTAAATTATCTAAAACCCTAGAAACTTTTTGATAGAGTACAACCAGGAGAGCCTACCTTTTATATTTAGACCTACTTTACTATCTCTAAATTTTAACCCTCTACTATAGAAACTAATATCCCTGCTCTTATACTGGAGCTTTTTACTCCTCTTTATATATAACCTATTCTTATCTGTTATAAGTATAAATCTGCTGTATAATTAAGCTAGATTATTATTTTTCTGATCTCTACGATATATAAGATTTTAGCCAGAATTACTTCTTAGATCTAGAAGGCTGTTCCTATACTCTAGCTCTAATTACTTATAACTTGTTCGTCTGATCTAATTCCTAATCAGTCTCTAATTTTTGATCTTCTGCCTTTGTATAAAGATAGTACTTTGAGTTACCTATATATCGATATCTACCCGAGCCCTAATGTATTTAAGATCCCACAAGCACTTAGGATTCTTGATCTTCTCAAGAATCAGTCTATATACCAACTGTCTAATCTGATCTCTACTATCTGATATCCTTGCCTAGTCACAGGTCTCTAGCCTAACAACTTAGTAACCATTATAAGAGAAGAATCAGAATTATAAATAGATATTACTAAGAAATAGGCTAGAGACCTATAACTAGATAAGATCTTGGATAGTAATTAAGAGGATAGGAATAGATAAATAGATTTAATCTAGTAATAACAGAGACTAATTCTTAAAGAAACTTTAAGAATAAAAGGACATCTGCCTAAGGTTATTTACGGCTATAATTATATAGAATTAGGCATAACCCCCTAGTATAGCATAGCTAAAATAAAGCCCGATCGTCAAAGGATTCAATTATAAAGCAGTATAATTATCTTTTTAATAAGACTCAACCTCTTTGGCACAAATCCTGTGACAGTATAGTCTGATCTTACTGAGATTTAGGGGTAATCAGGCTATACTAGTTTAATTGTACATTAATAATAGTAAAGGGGTTATTACAAATAGTTTTCGTTATTGTCTATTATATTAGGCGTAGACATCGCCAAAACCCATTTTGGGTTAGAAAGCTCAACCCAAAACCCATTGCCAAGAACCCATTATTAGAGTTTAAGCATAAATATGCCAAGACCTTCCTAATCAGGCTACTTTATACTGGTTTTATATAATTTTTATGCAAAGTGGGTTTGAATGGGTTCTTGGGTTCTTCGCATTCCAAGAAATGTGTTGAAAAATGGGTTTTGGCGATGTCTAATTAGGCGAACCGGGCTTATAACTTTCACAACCACGATAAGCCGCTAGTCGTTATTTTAGTAATAGTAATTGCTCTTGTATGAAAGTCTGGTCTTTTCTACAATAGGAGCAAAAAGCTATTTAACAAAAGTTACTGCTTTGGTAAGCAGGCTAATTACTAATTGCCAAGTAATATAGGCAATGTATCCGACTAGTAACAGTGACTTTATCGCAACATTATGTACTAGAGTATAGTGCGGCGCGCAGAAGACGGTCACCCACATGTTGCTGGACTGTCGAAACCTGCAAGAGCCGCGGGGTGAACTGAGAAGAAAAGTCAGGGACGCGCTGGGCAGCGTGTCGAGTCTGTGGGGAGGCTCAAATGAAGGTGAGAAAGGTAAACCAGACACCGTCTCGCGCACGAAGTCAGTATACAGGCTGTGTTGGATTTCGCCGAGGCGTCACAGCGGTTTCGCAGTCGTACACAATGACGGCAGCCTAATGAAGAGAACGGCAATGGGCCAGGACAAGCCGTGACGAGGCTCTAAGTTCATGTCAAGAAGTGGATCATTCTATGTGTACATGCTCGGATATATAGTTGTTGTATACTGCATATCGCTTCGGCGAGGGGTCAGTGTAAACGAGATCATCTACTACTACTACTACTACTACTACTACTACTGTACTTATCGTAGTGTCAGTCCAAACAGTTTGTGTATTTAATGGTGTCATAGGTGGTTCCCACACTTGTCGACGTAAGTGTTCGATGTCACTGCGAGGAGGGGAGCCAAACCCCTCAGCACATCCTCCTCCAGTGCCCGTTATACACTGGCCTCCGAGCAACACTGCTCAGCGAGCTCCGGCACAAGACGGAGCTGGGGAACTCAACCGATTACAACGCTATTGTATCGGACTCGCAGGCCATCCGCTACGTGGCCAAATTCATGCACCAAACCGGTCTCCTTGGGCAGTTCCGTTATGTGGACGCGGAGGAGATTGAACACGAACTGAACATAGAGATGCTAGAAGAGACTAGCGAGGGACACTAGGAGGTGAAGACGCTGTGTACATGGATTAGACGAGGGGCCGCAGTAACGAGAAGCTGCTGTCTGAGGAATCGATACATGCTCAGATGAGGAAGAACATGGACAGGAGGAACCAGGGCGTGGCTAAGGTCATGACCATGTGTCGGGGAGGGGGAGATTGCGGAGAGGGAAGTGACCGCATGGCGCTGCGTGAGCTGGCAGTAGCCGATTACATTCATTGTGGGAGTTTCGTTACGGTGTTGTGGGAGTTATTACTTGTTTTTCTATGGCAATACGCCGTATCTCCTTTGTCTTTTGTTACCATGAGCGTGGTGTTAGGATGGTTCTGGTTCCTGATGGAGGGAACGCCTACATAGCTATTACGTTCGAATGTGTGGCTGAATTAGGTTATAGAATCTTGAATTGAATTGAATTGAATCGACGTAAGTGTTGTTGAGAAAGTGACTGTACTCGGGTCTAAGATGCTTGTGGAATACACTGTATCTGTCACCACTAAGGTAATAGTCGATGGAGAAACAGTTGATAATTTGAGAGGGGTCAAAGTTGTGAGAGTGGCATGACTAGAAATATTTTAAGTTGAAAGGGTCTGCAAATTTGCTAGCAAACATCAAGTCATAAGGAGCATACCTGGTGACAGTGAGTAGTATATTAACGGTACTAACCTTAGTCGAGACTTAACCATATTTAGTTAGTACAAACGGCCACCAAGGTCGATGTAGAAGCCGTAGCCAACGCCGTGGAAGCCACAGCTAGTAATCCAAATCAATAGATCATAATAGTTGCCATGTTACAGTACCAAGATAGATGAGTTGATTCACTACAGAATAAGCTGAACAATTATTCCATGTAAACAGAGAGTATTTTAATAAGGGTAGTCAACCCCCATTTAATAGAATTCGCGCTGCCTTCCAACGCCTTATTTTTGACATTAAACTTAAGCAATCTATATTAAAATACCGTAGATAGCGGCCAATTAAATAATTTAGAACTGATATTTCAAGCAAGGAGTCAGTCAGCATTTCACATAATCGCATTCTCCATTATAAATATGTTTTCTCATTCCGAAGAACTTTATGGTTTGAGATCATTATTGACATTGGCTTAAAAAGAATGAATACTTTGGTAAGAGCTAAATCTATCTATCCCCGACAGATGGTGAAATTTCATTACCAATTTAAATACACCACGGCATTTCATTCCTCCTCCAGAAACAATGACCAGGGTGTGTAAATATCACCACATTCTAAGCAGATCAGTTAATTTGGCCCCCTTTTAACCATATCCCAAGTCTCCATTCTACCTCGGAAGCGATACCCAAGGTTCATCTGCGACCAAATCAATTTTGAGGGGCGTGGACGTTTCCGAATTACCGCAAGGGTATGCGAATATTTTTGATAGTACGGTCGCTGCACTCAGCTTCTTCAGCCATTTGAGACGTGGTTGGCGACTGGCTCTGTATCATGTCAGGAATAAAATGTAGCTTTCAAAGTCGCCCGCATTATCTGAGAACTCATTTTTGCCGCGCCATGAGGGCAGTCTAACATCACGAACGGCAAACAGGCCACGACAGGGGCTCAGGAAGTTTGGAACAATCTCCGTGGAACACAAAAGCATGTATTTACGCAGTAGTTGTAGCCTGCATATCGCTTCGGTTGTTGATAACCACTAGGACAAGATACGAATCCGCTCTCAGCCTAGTGTTGGTGGTTTATAATCAACTTCGGCGAGGGGGCGGGGTAAATGAAATCCATCCATCCATTAGGCTGTACTTACGAGAATTCATACATTCTTTGGCGCAATATCTCGCTGAAGCAGTTTTGGCTTGGGCAGCGTACCCGACTGCTCAGACCCCCATGGGATAGGGTCGCTTAGAAAAGGCAATAAGGAACAATAAGAATGAGACCTATGCAGCCAATAATAATAAAATATAGATCATTGGTATTTCATTAAGGCGACGTAGACAACAAATATGTTGCCACCAGGGGCTACGTGAAAGGCTGGCAAAAATAACTGTACATTCCAAGGGTCTTATGAAAATCTTGCAGACATTTTTACATCTTAAGTCAACCCTACTTTAGAATTGAAGTCTCATCAGAATAATATATAGCTTAACCGACCCTTTCATTTTGATGCTTCTTTCAACAAAATTATTCCCAAAATTCATTTTTCCTATTGAAGGACCTTCATTCAAGATGCATTTGAAATATTTTATGCTCCACTCTCTGCTTTCATCAGCGTTGGCATTAGAAGGACGACCTGAAATTTCCCGAGACGTTGTCAACTCCGCACTCGACGCTACCGACAGCAAAAACCTCCCATTTTATCCAACGACATATTGTCCAGGTCATAAAGCCGACGAGAATTTCCAGAGACAGATATTCGCGCACTTCGTCGAAATGTTGTACGGTGAAAAAAATGTGTCCAAAGCTTTCGAAACTTATGTCGATTCCAACATCATTGAACATGATCCTGTCGATCCGCAAGACCGCGATGCTATTGTTGAAAGACTGAATGGGATCATCCCTTATGTAACCACCAAAATTCTGTTTCAAAGCTTTGGCGATGATACTGGTCTGGTCTATTTGAAGATTGAAGATGACCCAGAGCCGATCGCTCTTGCGGATATGTATCGAATGGATGGTACTTGCATCGTTGAGCATTGGGATGTCCAACAGGCCAGGCCAGCGAATGCGACAAATCCACTTGCCATGTTCTAATTTACTGTCTCCTGGTCAAATTGATTGATTAACTACGGTTTTCGTTTTGTTTTATCGTGTTTTTGATTCATTTTCATCTACTTTGTTCTTTTATTAGTCTTTATCCACATCGACGATGCGTACAACTTGCTTCTAATCTTCACTGCAAACATCATCACCAATCTTCTCAACGAAGTCCGGCGAGACATGGCTCCGAACGTAGCATCGACCGAGAAACATATTACTCATCGACAACAGTAGGAGTGCCTGGGTGGGCCAATGTAACAAAGAAATACCAACACTTTGAGAATGCCGACAAAATAGCAGTTTCCACTTGACCTGACACTGAGGTCGATGGACGAGTTTGAGAGCGCCTATGTGTAGATATATGTCAAGAATTGGAATTCCTACACATCACATACAGGGACTTTACCCCTCATCACGATTTCCTATTGTACATTAGTCTATTATGAGATAGTACGCCCTCTTAAATTGTTGGGCATCTCCAGATTTATTTCAATCAGAGATTTATTTATTCGTGTACTGCACTTCCATGTTGGGACATCGTACAGTCTATTTTTGACAATATAAGCACTTTCTCGATCATCTTCCGTGCGCAGGTATTCGTTTTGTTTTGTTTTTTTCTTTGTTTCAATATCACCTGCATACCCTGTTTTATCGGTCTCCAGATGTCAACTCGAGCCGATGTAAGTCCATTGTTTTCGCGGTGTATATGAGGCCGAAGACTAACAACGTCATCCCAGCCAGTATAAATGTAAAAGCTGTTATGTGATAACCAGGCATCACATTAGTAAAAAAATGTTACACATTGGGCAGTAGATGGCGGTGAGTCCAGCCAGTGTAAATATGCTCAGCTGAAGAAAGATGCCAGTGGCTGGCTGATGTAGGGAAGTTATCAAACCCCTCCAAAATAATAGAGAGTAGCATCTTCTGTTACTTTAGAAAAGTGTTGAGAAATTTGGGGTTTTACAATATTTAACGCTCAAATTTCTCCCTCGATCTTTGCAGTTATTTTGCGGTTATCCGTGGATTTGCCAGAACAACAACTCAAGACACATATCGAATTTTTGTTATATCTCAGGAACCAGGCCAGTTAGCAACCCGTACTATTTGGCAAGTTTTAAATATCTTCACACGCTATATTTTGAGCCTAACTTTGTATATGCTAGCTAATTATGCCGGTGCTGTGTGTGGAGAAGGCAGGATTGTGTTCGTCCGGGGCTGTCCCCGCTATATTGACGAATTTGCTATTGAACTGTGAATATATACAGAACATTAATTATAGCACTATGGAGCTATTAATAAAACTTAATAGTAGTCTGAAAGCCTAAGTAAATCTAGATAAGTTGCAGGAACTCCTTGAAAATGTTTAAGGCCTTACTAACGATCTTTTGTTGTTTCCTTTGTATAACTGGCAGCAGAAGCTCTAGTCTCTCTATAATAATCTCTCTAAGGAGATCTATAATACTGTAAAAGTAGTGACTAAGCCTCTACCTCCTAGGCTTAGGTAGCTATTGTAAGATAGGAATGCTCGTAGGCTGTCTGCGTTGGCAGACAGGTCGATCGCAAAGAGACAACACCACCACACTCGCAGAGTACAAGGAGATGATAGGCAAGCGTAACGCTATAGAGAATTGACAGAACGAACAACAGAACGAATAACAGAACCTTTTATAAGCAGTATACTGATACCGTAACCTCAGTAACCTCAGTAGAACATTTTCATAAGGGGGAACATATATATTAAATTAATAATCTAGAACGAAACTATTTATCCTCCTCGAACTAAACAGCAGCCTTGTTGCTAAGGCCCTAATCACATAACTAACTCTGAGATACCAATGTTGAGAGCAGAGATCCCCACTACAATATATATTTAGCTCTTTGTAATTAATTAATCTAAGTTACTATAGGATACTCTTCAGATTATTCTTTATGTAGTTTTATCTCTTATGATAAATATCCTATAAGTAAGGGAGCTCTTCAGACTAACCTACTTAGTACCCTATAGAAATGTGCAAACCTATGGGCATGCCCAAACCGCCCATAACCTGCCCATAAGTAGGGCAAATAGTAATATCATGTGATTTGCATAAAATATGAAGAACTAGGCTCTATTTGGCAGTATTGCTGTTGTATTAGTCCTTCTTAGCTGTTGCTATAGCCAATTTGTTGCAATTGCCATGGCAAATTTGTTGCAATCCTCATGGCCAATTTGTTACAATCACCTACCCAGCCCATGGGTGGGTAGCGAAATTTCGGCCCATGGGCGGCCCATTGCACAGGCCTAGTCTGGACGTTGAAGGTCGCCCGACACCACATCCCAGACCTGCCTCGCTTTGAGGTAGGAGGTCATGAGACGTTTCCAGGTCGCGAAATTGTCGCTTCCTGTCAGAGGCGCGATAGCCGTAACAGCTCGGTCGGGAGAGCCATGGACCAGAGAAGACATTGATGGCTGGAAAAGCGGGGTAGATATAGATAATTCAGACGAACAAGATGATTTAGAGTGAGTAGAGGCAGCACCCAAGAGTTTGCTCCCGGGCTCATAACCTGTTGTACTTCAGAGGAATAATTACTCTTATTATTTCTGAGGGAATACACGGGGCTATATATACAGCGAGAAGGCAAGTTAATTTCCAATCAACTTGGTTCTTTGGTTTTATCTCTCAGCTTTGCCACCGAAATGCGTGGTTTATCTGTGGGAGTCCACATCTCCATCCCGGCCGGCTGATTTCTGCCTCCTTACGCCCCAGTGATCTTGATTCTTTTAATATATCAGCTGCAACTCATGGGGCGCAAAAGCACTGCGTGTCAGAACTGCAGATCCATTAAAGCCTTGTGCACGAAGCAGCTCCCCTGTGTGCGCTGCAAGCGGCTATTGCTGTCATGTCGGTACGAACCGACCACTTTCTTGGAAAATGACCGTCGAAAGCCTTTCCCCAAAGCAGGGATCACCAAGGCCAAGCACACGAAATCTCAGAGTGGCTGTCTCGGTTGTCGGCGACGCCGGAAAAAGTGCGACGAAAAGCAGCCGGCATGTGCGGACTGTGAACGCCTCCGCCTGCCATGTATACGGCCAGGAGACCATGTACATGAGCTCGGCGGGCGGAGTGAATGTGGTGTGGAAAGTCACGCGGAAGAGACCGCTGATGCACTCCTGGCCTTAGATGCGTTCGGACTGTGGGCAGCGACCGATTCACAGGGACGCAGGGGCCAAGACACAACAGCCAGCTTGACATCCTTCTCGGACTGGTTGGCGCTGATTGAGACGGAGAATATTGCAGAAACAATTAGCAATGCGGATCTTGCCGGGAGCACCGCGCTCGTGAACACAGGTCACTTCGGCAATGACGGATCGGAAAATGTTGCCACCTTCCTACCTTGCACAGCATTAAACAAATTGACTGGGGTCACGCTTGACGCTGTGGCGAAATGGAGAGCTGTAGAAAAGTATTTACTTGACCACTTCCTTCAATCAGTCTCACGCGCCCTGGTGATTGCAGAGGACAATGTTGATCCCTTCCTCCGCGTGGTGGTGCCGATGGCGCTGAAGAATACCATGGTGCAGCATGCTTTGTTTGCGTTATCAGCATGCCATTTATCCCGGATCTATCCGGTTTTCGAAAGCGATTTCTATTTCCACCGCAGCAAGGCGTTACAGGAATTAATGTGCGAATTGGAGGACCCTACAGCGTCCAGCTGCGCTGTGGCAGCGACTCTTCTACTGACTTTCACCGAGGTCAGTTCATTCACTTAATGCGTGTATGTCGAGACCATTGGGGTCTAACCTTCAATTCTAGATTTGCACTGGTACCTCTAGAAAATGGATAATTCATCTTCACGGGGCGAGGGCACTCTTATCACAAGGAGTCAGTGATATGGTTGGCCCTCCAGCTGACACGCTTATCGAGATCTACAACTATCTGTCCTGCATGACCTCAGTCACGTCCGAAATGGCACCTGGAAGATTAGGTGACAGCCTTCAACTTTCCAGTTCCAATGCCACACCCTCTACATCTGCCTTCATTCATCCGTTGCTCGGCCTCTCAACCAGTATCTACGAGTCGTTGGCATCAATCAGTCGTTTCGCTGCTCGCACCCGGAACAAGCCTCCTTCCTTGGAAGAGCTTGAAGAAACAAAAGAGATCGAAAGGGCGCTGAAGGCTTGGCAGCCACCCAAGGTAGCTGCTCACAATGAGTCCCGCAATTTTACCGAAGCCAGAGCCATGGGATTTGCCTTGCAACAGGCTACAATCATGCGTCTGCAGCAGATAACGAAGCGACTGGAGAACAACGATCCCAAGATTACAAAAGCAGCTGATAGTATTCTCTCGGCTTTATCGCTCATCCGACCTGGCTCTGAGATAGAGGCGCACATGCTATTCCCTCTATTCATGGCAGGCGTGGGCAGCATTACCAAGCCTCATCGACTGACTATTGAATACCGGCTCAAAGTGATGGAGGCTACTATCGGATTTGGGAATATCTCAATTGCGCACAAACTTTTGGCTGAGATTTGGCGGAAGGCAAACGAGGGAGAATTGATGGATTGGGAGGAGCTGATGAGGTGTAAATACCCGGGGTTTATTTTCCTTTGAAAAAAAGACAAACAAATCTAACAAAGGGGCGAATAGAAGCTTTATACGGAGAAAGAGACTTCAACCTCGAACATTCATGCCATTCTCAATTGTAACAGGCAACAAACAGAGTCATCCCCATTTGAGGATCTGAACATCGACTATGGACTTAAGCAGGATTCAAGTATTCAAGTACTTGAATTGACATTTCTATCAACCACTGTGGCTAGATGAGGGATATCTTCCCTATCCGTCACACTCATAGCCGCCCTACCACCGCAGATTTCTTAATCCATGTCAGTTGTGACTGTCGCTTCGAGTCTCGTTGAACCCTTTATCACATTTCACGTCGGGGATCCCAGCATCATTAACTATATGCTTGTCAGGGGTGACACCTTCAATACCATGCAGCAGACTGGGATTGAGCTTCTCAAATTTAGCATCAATCTGTTCAAGTGTAAGCCCCTTCGTCTCGATCCAGAAGTAAGCCACGAAAACAAACTGAACGACGTCCCAGGCTGCATTGATAAAATATGTCTTCCATCCAATTGCCTCAAGAGCCAATGGCCACACGAATACACTAAATAGCCTGGGTAGAATAACATGGTCAGTGGGGATACCAATATATATCCTCATTGTTGGGGCCTACCTACCCGCCACAGGTGACAGCTAACGTCCACGCCGCCATTCCGTTGCTGCGGATGGAGAAGTTCAGGACCTCGGGAGGGTAAAGAAGAGTAAGGGGAGTGATTCCAATGGTGTAGCTTCCTTGGAACAGGAATACTGTTGCCACGGTGCCGTAGACGCCGAAAGTATTCCCGGCGCCGCCATATACTGTCAAAGAAGTCAGAAGGTGATTCAGAGAGGGGGAAAGTAGCAAGCAGTTCAGGCGTACTTTTGGTCAATGCGCCGACCAGAAACATGAAGATTGTCATTCCCGCTACGGAGATCAGACACATGGCCTTTCGCCCAGCAGCACCCACAAGCCATGTTCCAAGACAAGCGATGACGAAGCACCAAGCCGTTAGAACAATGTTATATTGATAAGGTTAGTATGAGAATTCATGAAGCCAGCTTCACAAGGAGGCTTACAATTTGCAGCTGCGTAGTTGTATCGGTAATGCCCGCGTTATCCAGCATGTCGCCCAAATAGTAAGAAACGATATTGTTTCCTGATTTCTGTCAGCGTAGATAAAGAGGTAATTAAAATTTTGGAAGAAAATATTACCACTTGACATGGACAGTACAGCGACTGATACCACGAGCAGGAGCCGGAGCCGGGAATTGGGCGTTCGAAAGATTTCGGCATAAGTCATTTGCTTTCCACTGGCTCGTTCCATCTCAATTGTCTCCATAATCTCTTCGTGCTGGACAATTGCAACCGGGTGCATGATGTCTGAATCACTGTGAGTTGATGCCACTGATATCAGAGCATCCTGCAGCCTTCCCTGGTGGACAAGCCATCTCGGAGACTCGGGCACAAAGAAGAGAATGATAAGACATAAACACTGAAAACTGCTTGTAGAAGGCATGGCAATCGCCACGACCAGGAGCCTGCAATTTCCACTGTTCGATAGGTCACACCCGCCGCAATCAGGGCGCCTGTAGCAGGGGTCAAAACCGAACGCAAGCATTCAGTGGGAAAGAACCTACCGACAAAGTAGACGGTGAAAATCAAGCTCAGCCCAGGTGCACGGAACTTTGGGGGAAGTGTCTCAGCAAGCCATCTAAGACCTCAATTAGCTACGTTCTCCATGGCAGAGAAGAGAAGGTGGAGGACACACGTCGAAGCGGCGATAGACGAGGTGCCTGCTCCCGCGCCCAGAATTATTCTCCCAGCCACAAACATCCCTACTCCCTGGGCAGAGGCCATCAATGCAACGCCGATCAGTTTGAGGAATACCGAGATCAAAACTCCTGTGCGGCGACCGAGCCGATCCACGACGGGTCCCATAAAGGTCGACACAATAATCCATCCGAGGAAGGATGCTGCGGAATTCAGCGACTTGGTGACCGTCGTGAGCTTGAGAGTATCCGTATACGAGGGCATGATATTAATGCCATTCCTATCATGTTAGCAGGTTCCCAAAGTTGACTAGGCATAATTGCCAGGCAGGAAGTACATCAGCGCCGAGTCATATCCACTCGTCTATTGGGGCCGTTAGTAACGCTGCGCTGTCATCTGTGGGGGATTAGATTTGGTTTGATCTACATACTATTGCAAAAATACAAGAAGACAACACCAATAACGTGATGGTGAGCTTGCTCGACTTGTAGAATTGAAGGGGGCCGAGGGGCCCGCTGAAAAAAGCCATTTTTGCTCTGCTGATATCACCGATGATAGTTGCCAGAGGTGCGAGAGAGAGTCTTAAGGCTTTATAGATGCATTGTCGCTTTATACAATCATCCGTTCCATATACTGCTCTTCGTGGGGGATGTGGTTGGGTTGTGGTGCAAAAGCCATAACCAATTCGGCGGGCTGATGGATAGGATAAACCGGCGTTCGTGGTCCTTCCGTGACTGGAACGACGGGTTATTTAGGGCTAGTCAGTATCTGGAAAGCCAGCGGCTGTTTTACCCCGCGGAATTTGCGATAACGTGCAGAGTTGCGAAGTTAAAAGAACTCGGGCCGCGGTGATTGGATCTGCGCCCGCTTGGATTTTCTGATAGGCGGGCAACAAGTGGGCATTAACCGAGCATCATCAAAATCCAGATAGAACTTTACCTTTTATAATTTTCTCTTTTCTCTTCAAACCCGGTACTCTTCCATACTGGAAGAGAGTTATTGGCGGAAACATGGTTGCCTATCTATTGGTCTCGATTACCCACTGGCTCCTAAGGCCAAGTTTCTGTTGGCCTATGAGGATTGCTAGAACGAGTGCATTACAGTCGAAGAGCTCATATTTTGAGAATGTAGTTTGTGTCATTTTCAGCAGTCGCTTACTTGTACTACGGGGCAATAGATAGCAGTGAATGCTTCTAGTATCGGTGCTGATCTCTCTCTGGGGTTCATCCTAGGAGGGACCTCATCTGGGGGTCTGTAACTACCTCAATACTACCTCCATAGTTGAATCTGAAGCTATCCCGGAAAAGTATAAGGGGGGTCTATCGCAGTGGTGAAGTCAGCGAAAGTGCAGGGGGCCTGTCGCAGAAAACAAGAAGCGTGTTTCAAGAAGCCGTGCAATCGGACATTGCCTCAGATGCCTGGAGCCTTCTCCTTGGTGTAACGGGCATCAGAACCTTCCCCGGGCCTACTTTCAGGTATATGGGGCAGACATTCAAGGCGATGATTCGTTCCTTTTTGAGCGGGGTTTGCATGAGAAGTGGTGTTGAGACAAAGCTGGATGTGTATCCTGGTCTGGCTAATGTATTCGGGTATATGTACCCAGCTCACTCTACGTATACAAATTTTCATGAAGATGCCATCAAAGGCATAGGATGGCTGTTCGGAAAGCTGTCACTGTAGATACTTTGGACTGGAGAATTACGAATTTCGGGTTGGGGATCATCGGAGGTTGTTCTATGTGAAAGATGTGTCAATGCACTTAGAGGTCATTTCCACCATAACTAATCTGCCGGAAATGCCCAAGCGATATCGGGGTATTGATAAACAGCATATGTTTCTCTTTTGCTGACCCGTGAATTATCTTGTTCCATTTGAAATAATGATCCAATGACCATACAATGTGGAGCCGATTTGCCGGGCGCCTAAACGACGGGATTTCGGCCGAGGATCTTATATATACCCGGCCTATCGGCCGCTCTCTCTCTCTCTCTAGGCGCAACTACGACAGAAAACGGATAACAAACATCAAAGGAAATTGAACCGAACCTCAACCCAACTTTCAAACATGGCCCCTGTCGCCCTAGAAGTGCCAGATATTGTGTATCCCTCCATAACGGTCTTCAAGGAGTAAGTCTTGGCTAAAGCGAGTAGGCAAGCCTGACACACACTGACAGCAAGAGAAGATCCGAGCAGTATCATGACTTTCGGGACGAACTCCAACAGAAAGGATATGCCATTATCAAAAACGCGATTCCAAGAGACCGTGCACTCCAATACAAACAAAAGGCGTTCGACTGGCTGAATTCTTTCGCCACGGCGCTCGATCTCAACAAGCCAGAGACATGGGTTGCTGAAAACCTGCCCGTGATGAACAGGGTCCGCATGTTCCATGCTTATGGAGTTGTACATGAGAAATTCATGTGGGAGGCGCGCATGGAACCAGGAGTGTTGGACGCATTCAGCAAGCTCTGGGGCACAGACGAGCTGCTAGTCAGCTTCGATTGCCTCAACATCAATTTACCCAATCGACCCGACTTGTCTGCACGCACCCCATGGCAGCACATCGACCAAAGCCCCAACAAGCGAGGTCTACATTGTGTGCAAGGTATCATCAATCTGTGTGCCTCGGGTCCTGACGACGGTGGCCTTGTTGTCTATCCCGGATCGCACCTGTTGAACGACGAATTCTTCGACGCGCACCCAAACAGTGCCCAACAACAGTACGCAAATGACATCTACATATTCCCCATATCTGAGCTGGACTGGTTTGAGCGACGTGGTATCCGGCCTCACAAAGTCTGTGCAGAACCTGGAGATCTCCTTCTATGGGATTCTCGCACTGTCCATTACGGTTCCGACTCGACCGAGGCGGGTACGCGCATTCGTACTGCTATATACGCTACATATATGCCGGCTTCTTTGGCAAATGCGGACCAGCTTACAAAGAAGAAAATGGTGTTCGAGGAATTTGGCAGTACCAGTCACTGGCCTTATGAACACATCGAGCCTGGTGCGAAGAAGGCAAAGGCCTTACTTCCAGATGGCTCGATTGACCCACGGGCTGAGCATCGTAAGGTGCCCCTTGAGAAGCCAGAATATTGTGACAAACTATTGAAGTTGGCAGGTGTATTGCCTTATTAAATTGCAAGCAATGGATAACTATTCGCCTGTTGCTTCCTAAGTCTTAATTTACAAGCTTTGTCTATCCTGCAGGAGCGCTGTGCGATCGGTTCCCGCTACTCCAAGAGTAATTGAGCTAATGTAGTGTCCGCTTTTCGACAAAAAGATAGTGAATATCGACCCCCCTTACAAGAAGTCACTGCTAGCTTGTTATACATATATTGTAGAACTTTACGAAGAGGTGTCCCTATACTCCGTACCCTAGTCCGCATACACTCAGGGGCTCAATGGTGTTCTTTGCCCGATGATTGGCCCGTCGTGCGTGCTCCCGGACACCCCGGTCCGTAGGCCAAAGCGATCAGACTTATCATATTCAGGGGCTTCGATAATGTTATTATATAAGAAAGATTTATATATAGCAGAGTACTGATCTCTACTGGAATTCTATACTCTAGGACGTGATGCACCCAGCCCTCAGTGCATCTACTCTGCCCCGGATTGGTCTAGTCGGCCGCAGCCCGACCCCACCTCCCATCTTCTCTATCATATTGTAATTGCTTCTTTGATGGCCGTATCTAGGAATAGGGGAATAGGCGGGCATGCCCTCCTGACATAACACGCGTTCCCTACCACGTCCGTGACCGCGTACGCGACCGTATACGCGACCGCGTCTGTGATCCTGTATCCTGTTTATATCTATAGTCGTGATCGCGTTCTTATACTTCACCTATTCGTCTGCTGCAGCCCTGGACAAATAATTTACTTTCCTTTGACTCTACGTCTGACCGTTTCCTATCTTAAGATAGATCTCTTTACATACAACGCAACGTACCAGATCTAGATCTGCATAAACTGTCGTTATGTTGTTACACCCCGTCACCTTAACGTATATTTCTGTAATCATTACCGATATCATCCAACCGCTAGAACGATAGAGCTTCGTTGTACTATACTGACTAAGATGTTAAAAAACCCCTGGCTCGAGCCGACACAGGAGCTATATCGATTCCCTCTATCTGATTCTGTACCTATACCCGGTCTTCCTGTCTATCCTGGCCTGCGCTTTCCCTACTGCCCCTATATATCGTAAACATCAAGGATACTATATAACTATTGTAATGGGGATTTCCGCTCTCAACATCGGTATTCTAGGGTTATGTGACAGAAGCCTTAGCAACAAGGCTCCTGTTTTGTTTCAGGAGAATAAGTAGCGTTCGTTCTAGATTATCAATTCAATATGCATGTTCCCCTTTATGAAATGATTCCCGCAGGCTGCTGAGGTAGTGGTATCGGTATACTGCTTATGAAAAGTTCTGTTATTCGTTCTGTTGTTCGTTCTGTTGATTCTCTATAGCGTTATGCTTGCCTATCCTCTCCTTGCACTCTGCGAGTGTGGTGGTGTTGTCTCTTCGCGATCGACCCGTCTGCTAACGCAGACTGCCTATGAGCATTCCCATCTTACACTACTTAATATCTTAATTTGAATTTGCAACACATAGGAAACACCCTGTTGTGTATAAATAAGCATACACCGCAACTTCAGAAGATCCGCCCGCGTAGCAAAGGCTAGTGTCGACTGGAAAGTGGATTATGTTCCTATTGGGCCAAAAATGTACTCAAGGGCCGTATTCCAGCTTTATATGGAAATATAACCATAGTAGGCTCAGGCGCCGATATACCGTCTACTATTACCAGGCTGACAGCTATGCAATTTATCATACTTAGGGCTTATCGTACAATGATGAACAAAGCAGTCCACGAAGCAAAGGGCTGAAAACAAAGTTGGAATTGTTCGAGCTTCTTTGCCCGGATCCGGATGTCGTTCTAATGAACTTTGTAACCTAACTCTCGCCGACCAAAAGAACCGGGGTAGTGCTGCGCGGCGGGGCGAGAAAGATATTCGCTAATTCTCGTACAGTAGAAAATCAAGCAACACGTAGGCCGAGGGGGAGAGTTTGCACCGCTGGAGAGAATCTATTTATAAAGCGATTTTTCTTTAATTTCTGCCGATATATGTGAATTTGCGTATGTAGTGCTTCGTTCAGTATGATTAAAGAGGCGGTCGCGTAAATTTGAATGCCGTACGTTAAAATAACAGGCGATATCCCGAATTGAACAAGTTTCTTTGTCCCTAAAGGTCCTTTCTTGCTAATAAAATCCTACCCTCTTGTTCTATTAAAGTTCTAGAGCTTCAGGTATGAATTAGTAGCAAAGTACGTAATCAAATTAATTAAATGCTAACTTATAGACGTTTTTGTTAGGGAGGGCGGGCAGGAAAAAGGAGAAGGCTTAGAGTCCTGCCAAAGAATGTTCCTGTCTGACCTCTCTGGCCCTATACCTTTATCCGCCGGGCTTTAAGCTTCCGCTGCGGGCCAGTAGTACAATATTATCTATAAGTATATCGAACTATACTTATATTTTCCTAGGCTAAGTAAGCGTCACTAATTACTATAGCCTACCTTATCTTATAGTTTTTAGCTCTACCCTTTGTAGGAAAGCTGCCTCTGGTATATTAAAACCTTAATACTTCCCTTCGATTTCTAGTTAATTCTAATTAGCTTTGCTACTAAAGCCGATGAATAGTCTTCAAACCGCCTATTAGATATATCGTAATTATAATAACATTTTAACAATAAACAAAACAGCACTAATCAATCCAAAGGAGAAAGCAACATCGCCTAGTTAATACGCAATTTAGTATAAAGTTTGCGACCATCTAGGTATTCGCAATGAAAAAAGGATACAAAAAGATACATTAAAGGAATACAATAGAGAGTCATTGACCAAATTACCAATGTCTCTCTGCTATTTTTCAAGCAAGGAACCCTCTATAAATCAAGATAAGAATCGATTCTAAGTTCCTTTCCAGCTTTATGTATCGCAAATGTCGATAAAGGCCGTTCGGCAGGACCTGCGGAGCGATAGATCAAAATATCATACTCAACAAAGTAGTAACTGTAGGAGATAATACAACCTACAATAAACTGCATTATTTATAATGTCGTCAACATCTGTTTGATTAAGATAAAGACTAGAAGACTAAGAGAGGCCTAAGCGTAGTACGAATACTATTACGAATCAGGCTTGAACCACCTAGAGAGCGCTAATAAGAGAAGTATATACATACCATTAAAGTATGAATTCCTGAGTTTATAAGCACCGCGACTAACCCAGCCGGTGACTTATATCGGGTTGCTCCCTATCCACATAGTATAACACCACTGTAGTAATAGGTTTGCGACATTGAGCTTCTTTTACCCTTAGCGAGTAGAATAAAAGTGTCAACTAGTTCATAGAATTTTGATAGATAGAAGAGCCAGGCGAAAAAGCCAGCCCTATTGTCCTATAGACCGCCTAAGGAGGGTTGAATAAAGGATTAGGTATACTGAAAAGGAGCAGCTAGATCTTTATTAGTATTGCAATTAATTCAACTCTTTTCTATCAAAATTAAAACGCGTAGTATATAATAGCAGAACATAAGCTTGAATAATAAGGAACAGGAAGATCGTCAGTTACCTTACCGTATATGAATTTTTTCGTCGGTAAACTTACCGCTGCTGTGGCTAACAGAGCAGGGGATGCCAGTATAGAAATTTGACTTCTTCTTTAATCGTTCTTCATAGGCCCTGGTGTGTATGAGTAGAATATGCGAGCGGAGATCAACACAAACCATGCAAGTCCGATGAGATTCCTGGGCAGCATCGAATTTCCGTCAACAGTCGTTGCTAGATATTATTAGTACTATTTAAAGGCACCGTTGTGGAAAAAGCCCAAGGGAAACAAACCTCTTTCAGTTCCTCAAAAGAGCTTGCCGAGGTCGTCGCGCAGGGAAATTCGATCGCAGCCGGGCAATTTCTCCAGCGGTCGAGATTATCAATTCCTACTGCCCCATCTTCTTTGACATATTTTTGCATCAATTCCATCATGATTCTTGAGACTGGTGCCAAGTTACTGGCTTGAATTTTGCCCTGTTGCCGGATAACACAGCAATCGATACGTGCTGCCGTGCCTCGTTAGGTAGGGTTGTCTTTGGAGGTATCAGTGAAATGAACGCACCGATTTTAACGTGCCCATTGAGATTCACGAGGATGCTAGAACAATCCAGAGATGTGTGGTAGAAGTTGTTGGCCATGAGATATGACAGCCCGTCAACTAACATACAATGAGGTATAATAAATGCGGAGGAGCCGCTTGTTGATACATCACCTCGCTTACCTGCTTGCATACGCACACAGGCATCCCCTTGAAAGGAGGATCTGGATCCTCTTAGGAGGACCGGCGATTAGTCTGAATATCATCATACCTATATCAGGCATATTTCACATTCTTCACTCGTATCTCTATCGTATCAGGACGCCCTCAGGGTATTGTCCTAACACTGAAATCCGTTTTTTAGGTAGTGTATTAATCACAAAACAGAAGAAGTTGAAAAATACTGCAAAACATACTGCGCCAAAACGCTGTCTCACAATCGCTCGGCTACAGGAATAATGTCTCATCTACTCCGGAAACTACGGATCAAAATCTATACTGCCCAGGTGGTTCTACAGAACTTCAATCGTCCTTTGGTCAATTGACAGAAGTTAAAGTTATAAAAGTTGGAAATCCTCCAGTGAGATAGAGTAAATATATATTTGAAAATGACCATTCACGTGTATTTTTGCGGCTAAAAAGTCTGTTTAGCAGCCTTGCAGGATATAGACTGAAGTCACTGAAAACAAAAGAAAAGGAAAAAGCTTTTTACCAATTCTTGGCCATTCCTTCTTTCACTTAGTCAAATAGAAAATCTCCGAACTAAAGTCTTATTACGGGACTTAAAGGTGTCTTAGGAACTCAGCTAATTGAAAAGATGCATATTAGAATCTCATCTCCATACTTTAAACTCTCGGTGGGTAGGCGGGTGATACCTCCTAGTAGCAAAGTTATAGGCTCGAGCACGATCAAACTACAGGAATGATGCAAGCACGTGGGACCTGTTTGGGCATGGGAAAATACGAACTGTGCATATGAGGGGCAACATGTCGATCTTTTCATGCAACGATGAAACAATATATTCCGTAATATATGTGATGACAAGATGGATAACTTTCCGAGAGACACACTGGGGATTATGAGAATTGTCAACAGGACACACTCCGAGGGTAATTGTGAATCCAAATTGGGACATAAAAATTCTATTAATATACGGCAGAAAAATAGTAGTGACATCTCAACAATTTTGATTCATGCGCCAAAGGTAATATTGAAAACTCTTTCTGAGACACGCTAGAGGTTTTATTTCCAAGGAAACGGAGTCAATCACGATCTTCCGCATACATGATCATTTCAGGCATGTCAGATTGAACTAAGCTTTCTGTTGTTTCTTAGTCATGATGATGAAATTTCCGTGCTTCTTCAGTCCGAGCGAGGTAGACCCTGGAGCAGTTAGCACGAAGATGATCGTTAATATTTTTCGAATATTATGTGGGGCCGGTTAGTGGTACATTTTGAACAAGTCATCTTTTCTTGCCCTACCTTGAGGACCGACCAAGGCATTTAGTCATTTCTCTCTCTAGCGAGTAGAGTGCTTGTAGTATTAATTGAAAAGACTTTGGTCGTGCTGTGATATGTGTTGTGAAAGGGACGTTAAAATAAAATGTCCAATTCATGCCAGGGGTTTAAAAGTGGTCGAGACTTCGGCCAATAAGATACGAGAATTCAAAGGTGAGCCGTCCTCAATGCACATCTCGAACAAAAGTACCAAACATCTCTTGGTGAATGCATGGCTTAGAATCTTCGTGGTGGGCTCAAGGGCGTCAACCCAGCATTGAAAGCCGTGCTAATCAGAGCGAAGCATTCATCTATTTCCACCACGACAGAATTTCTATGATGCTATTTTCCCCTTGACTGGGATACTGTACGACCAATCCGTTCCCCTGAACTGTTCCCCGTGGCTGAATACTCATAATGCGAGTTTAAGCCATCAAATTGGCTTGAAATTACGTTATACAAATTCCCAATAGAATCAAGCCAAGTGTGGGTGCCTTCCAGAGGCGTCCTCTCATTGTCTCATTCTGCCAAGACTTCTAAAGTAGTTTTAAAGTTTCATCCCCCGCCTGCCTGCAGTAAGATTCCTAGACACTGTTCGTCACCGGTTTCAGCGGCGTAATGCAGCGGCACCCAACCGGCCGCGTCAACCACGCTCGTACTGGCACCGTACCGAAGCAGCTCACGTACCATTGTGTGATGACCCCCCCGAACGGCTACGTGAAGTGCTGTGGATCCTGTTCCGTCGATCGCATTAGGATCAGCGCCCCGGTCAAGGAGTAGTCTAAACGCTGAGAGATGACCTCGTGTAATAGCGATATGCAGGGGCATCGTCCACGTCCTCGACCCTGCTCCACTGTCGGGCATAAAGTCGCGATCGCTCTTTCGTCCAAAAGGCCGAGTGGGTGTATTTGCGGGCAATTTGAAGGGAGTTCCCTGTTGCTGCCCTGCCATCAAAAGCTCCTCGGGGTAAATATAGCAGCTGTCGCACAGATTTCTGGTATGAAAGCCTGGTGAATCTGGTGAGCTATGAGATATGCATGTGCGTATTGACAACCAGTCTCTTACGTTTGCTCGGGCTGGCGGAAGGATCTGAATCCCTGTTGCAGTAACAGGGGCCAAATTGTATTCGATCCTCAAGTGGCAAACTAGTCGCTACCATGTTGAGGTCCCTATATTCGGGAGTTTGCACTAGAAACGGCTCGTTGAAGAAACACGTTTCCGTGGACAGGCCGTCGGCTCCGTTGGATGTAGGACTCGGTCCGAACGGGACTGACGAAGTCAGATCTTCTTGGCAATGGCCCACAGGAGACATGCAGCTGTGTGGGTTGGTCGATGTCGCTGGGTAATATTTCTCCGAGTGTGGCTTCGCACTCGATATGCTATAGCATTCTAGTGGTCGTGATCTGTTGGAATCTGATTTTGTATTTTCACCTATTTTTGTTAGTTGTGTGTTTAATGTCGGTGGACCAGACAATGTACGATGTTTGCGCTGTGCTAACCTGTTACGCTCTCTGCGTCTTTCGAGGGTCAAGCTATCTTGGTCCGTCATGATAGGTCGATTTGCGGGAAAGTGTCAAAGACACAGCGCACTTGAAAGCATTCGGTGGTATGGATATATATAATTCAAAGTAGCCCAAACGTACAGGAGAATGCCTTTTATATAGCCAACCTAATGTCGATGTGGCGACTAGCCGCCTGATCTGCCAGAAGGGCATCAAATTTAGGCCGGGAAGATGCGGCCTTTTTGCATAGTTACATGGTGCATATGCTAGACTCTAGCTGCGCCATATTGATCCACCCTTGTGGCTGTATAAAGGATAAGTTCATAATTTATTGGTGACCTCTCGCAATCAAGATGGGAACAGGAAAGTGTACAGTCTGGCCGTAACGGGTCACCTGTCGCTGCGGTCTTATGCGTAAACGCATTAGACTGTAGCGTCAGAGAAGGCCCGTCCGCGCTCCCTTGTAGGGAGGCAATGTGTCTGTATATTGCAATGCTGGTTTCTACATACACAGGAGGGTGGGAGGGACAAAATCAAGACCCGACTGCGTGAGAGATGACGAGCTACCACCAGAGGCAAGCAACTGACTCTTGCGAGGCAGTTGTAGGAAGAAAGAGCCCTCTGTAATGTCGGTGTAGATGTCACGTGAGGCAGTGTGGCAGCTTGAGGCAACCCCAATAAAACTCCTCCCTACAAATTTAGAAATTGATGCCTCGAGACTTGGTGAAAGTCCCGACGGATCTCACACGTCATGTCTCCAGCTGCTGACCTGTTAATTCCAGACTCGAGTCTAGATTTTACCACGTGATGCCCTATGCTCTGGAAAAAGATGAGTTTCTCACATGAGATAGGCGGAGTGTATGGCAGAATACCGAAGGACTAGACGAGAACGGTTAACTTAGATTAGGTAACTTCCCATACAAAATAGGTGGGAAGGTACATACAAATGAAACAGATTCCTCCGCCATTCTGCGTATGCTCCATTATAGGCTTTCACCGTTTCTGACAGTTTCATAAGCCTGTACCGTGTTAGTATGTTAGCTTGACACGGCGCTTTGAAATGGATTCTCGCAAATGGAGGGGGAAAAGAGGCCGCTCTGGGAGAGCATGTGCAGGGATGAAGATTGAATAATTCGTTAGCTTGATGGTCTACCGCGAGAAGCCATTCTATAAGTTTTGCTTGTGTATTCGTAGGTTTTGTATTATGTGCGACGTCAACATTATTGTGAACTTCTTGATTTTGATTGGCGTGATCATCAGTACTTGTTTCAACTGATATACAAGCCACGCTAATCATTGCGCGTTATTAGAAACTTAGGCTTCCATTGATGAGATGAATTGAAGGCGGGCATTTGAGACGCCGATATATAACCTATAGGAAATAAGCCATATTCTACGTTTGAAACCACATTATCTCTTAACGATTTAACATTTATTTTGAGCTGAGAACACAGAAGAACATCAAATTCAGAATTTGTGGCAATTTAAATAATTCCTTTCCATTCCACCATATTCCTGATACCCTCAGATTCTTCATTCAGTTGACCAATATATACTCGCAAATTTCTCTTCGCACGTGATGACCATACTCACTTCAGACATGAACACGGAGCTCGGCAACCTCAATATGGGGAAAAGCCTTCACTTCAACCTGAGCCTGAGTGATCCTTGCCTCGATAGACGCTGCGCCAAGGGCAGCGCGGGCGACAGCATCAGTGTCACAAAGTGTGACTGAGTTCACACCTGGTCTGGCACCAGCAGCGGTCACCCAGTGGACTCCTTCTGTTGGAACGCCAACAGCAAAGCGCTTTGGGTGCACACGGCCATGCGTGTCGATGAGATGGTATGGGCTTCCGGTGACATCAAGACCACCAGTCTCGTATGCATCAATCGTGTGAGCGCGGCATTGACCAGTGTTATACAGATGAGAAAGGAGCTTATCCGCAGTGTTCTGCAGTGTTGGCTCTGGCAAGCGGGCTTCGATCAATGTAGTAACCCGGATTGGCTCACCAGGAATCTCGGGCGAGTATACGAGCCAAGCCTCATCCTGGGATTTTACCTTGGGATGAGGACCCAGGACTTCCAGAACACCCGCCTCCATCAACGCAATCATTTGCTCAATGCGTTGGCGAGGAGGTCCAATAGACACATAGGCGTTGAGAGGCGTGTACCAGCGATCGAGGTGCTTCCGATGAGAAGTGGCGGTCAATCCATTGTGATCCACAATGAGTCGCAGTTCGTTTCGCAAATCACGCATCACGTCCAAAGCTGCCTTGAGTGGACCATTCAAATTTCCAAGTGCCGCCTCCTTGGCATCTTCGCGAAGGTAGTCGATCAACCACTCACGCCACTCGGTCGTGGTGTTGAAAATCCGGTCGCCCTGTGGACGCTGGATACGGTCCCAGGACCACCGCTCCTCTTTCGAAATACCGAACTCGTGAAGAACTTGCGCTTCCTCAGGACTATTTGGCTCAGCTTCCAGGAACCTGATCTGGAAGTCGGTCTGTTCCGATTCATCGCGCTTGAGCAGAGCGAGGTAATAGACGGTTTCGACTTCTTTGGAGACAAGAGGCCATATATCCTGGAGGAAGTCGGGCGCTTTTCCGGCATCGGAATGTTTGCGGAAAGCATTGATTACTTCTTCCGTGAAGACGAGGGGCATGTGGCGGCCGTATGCCCCCCTTGCCGTTATCACCACGGGAGTGGTATGGAATTCCGCGGCGGGATCCAGCAATCATCCGAGGCTCATTGCCCGATGGGTGATATTTTAAGCCGTTGGGGGTCTCTGAGAAGCTACCACCCCGGGATGTTGTCAACAACGCCATGTAGTCAAAAAAGTTGAGACCGAGACCACGTAGAAAGACGTTCTCTCTTGGACGAATAACGGAAAGATCAACATCTGCCGGGTTTGAGGGCGTGATATGATGAAGGCCATTTAACTCTGCGTAAGCATTGAGCTTCCGTTGTTCAATGTCCAGAAGTAGTGGGACGTGACCCTGCGCAAGGACGACAGCTGCCAGACCAGAAAGGGTGCGACCATTGGACAGCGTGAGCGTTTGCTGGCCATAAGACGTGTCATCTAAGCGGACAGCGAAGGCGGGATGAACCTCAATTTGCACTTGAGGTGGTGCTTGTCGCACAATCTCTTGAAAGATCCATTCCAGGTATTGTCCGTACTGAGCACGGGTTCCATAATCATCAGGCCCAAGGCCAGGGATCCTGTCGGCAGCCCAGTTGTAAAGACTTGGCCCTGGACGGATTGGGCCTGAGCAGACGATGCTGTCATCAGTGAACAGGGTCACCTGGGATGTGACGGTGTTCATCAGAACTTCATTCGGCTGCTCTGTGCGCCAGACACGACCCGCGCCTGGAGGCGATGGATCAATGATATGAACCGTCAGTCGTGCTCCTGGGGCAAGAAACTCCGGTGCTGAGGCACAAAGACGTTCCAGAGTGCTGGTTCCTCGTGGACCGGCGCCGACAATGGCAACATGGGTGCCCACGCCAGCAGGCTGAATGACGGACGGCATTTTGAGGTTGGCCGTAGGAGATATATTTGTTGAAGTAGAAGTTTTGCTCGTAGAGAGGAAAAACAAGGTTGCCAATGGCGGTGTTTAGACTGATATACCTGAGTTTTTATGGAAGAGACCCTTGAGAGGTTGCCGGTAACAATTCAGCGTAATCCAAAGCCCTTTTTATATTCTGTAAGTACAATAGTTAGTCCATCCATTGAGGTTTTCATTACGTGACATTGCCTTTACGGTCTCAGACTGAGCAACGATGCCTTCCAGGATTCACACGTGCAGCATAACGGACCAATAATGCGCAATGCGAGCGGCAGATAGGTTGTTCTGATGGTGAAACGTTGTTGAAATCTCGCCTAACCTTTGGAAAATGGACCCAACGAGGGTTGAAGAATTGAAGATTTCCATGCTTAGATTAGGATCGACACTCTTTCACCATACTTTCGAAGTGAAAGGGCCACGAAACCCGATGCCGAATCTAGCATTTCGGCCCGCACTTTGTTCGACTAGGGCAAAAGGTTGGTTCTTTCTCGCAGGAAGGCTAATATATGGGGCTACTAGACGATGACCTTGCATGCAGATAGTGACCATGCATACGAGCTATGACAGGATGCGGATCATCATTGCAAATTAAATGGCATGATGGGACGTTGAGTAATATCCGATGGTCGGAACTGGAGATGCAGCTAGCTATTCTACCAGCGTTTGGCGGCCAATTGTTTTCAAGAGCGTTGTTTGGGATATTTTCATCATCCGAACAATAAGCTACACACAAATTGATAATTCCAACCCCCTTCCGTTGAGATATTGCCTCCTAATTTCGATAGGCCAATTGATCACGTCGCTTGATTAGAGCTGAAGCGTTGATGGATGACAACAGACCTCTATAGTTCATGAGCACACAAGCATCATTAGATTTAGTTTTGACGATAGATGTAGCTAAAATAGAGTATGAGTGACGTTGATACTTAGGGGTTTGCGGTTTATATTTGTACAAATGGCACGTATTTAAATGGATGTTATATTCTCCGTATGCAATGATCAAATCAGAACCAAGCAGAAGCATGATATGAAGATTCTAAGCTACTTGTCATTTCAATATTCAAGGGACATGATAAGATCTCTCCATTCATGCCAAGTTAGAGCTCCGGGCGTTTGTATTCGTCTTTCTCAATCATGTCATTTAAGGTTTTCTCAGTCACCATCATTGCCTCGACACCGGCAGGGGTCCCACAGTAGACTGTTGCCTGCAAAACAGCCTCTCTGATTTCTATCTCTGAAAGACCGTTGTTGATAGCACCTCTGGTGTGCAAAGCTAGCTCAAGCCATGCCTTCTGAGCAATGATGATCCCAATATCTACCGAAAATCCCAATATTAGAATCTCAAGCTCTCGCTCGCAATCATTTCAGGAATTATAATGAAGTTTGACTTACTTAGAAGGCTGCGCTGCTTTCGGTCTAGCCCCGGGCGTTGCCAGACGGTACCCCATGCCCATTCCGTGATGAGCTGCTGCCCGGGCATAGTGAAGGGTGTCGCGTTTTGCAACGCCTTGTTGACATACTCATCTCCAAGGACTGCCCTCCGCACCTTGACCCCCTCTTCAAACAGTTGCTTGTGCAGCTCGTCAAACTTCGTCACGTCGGACATATTTGGAGGAATTTTGAATTATGAAAAGCGATATGAGTTGGGATGCAGGTCTCACTGGCGATTGCGATTCGCGGAAAAGTAGACCACCGTGGTTTTTCAATGTCGTTTTGGCAAAAGTTGTCTATTTGACACAAGATATATTAAAAGACAAACAAGCCGGATTTATGTGACGAATTTGTTCATCTAGTGTCCATTTGATCTGATTAGAGTTTCTCTATCTAGACTAACTTTGGGTCATCGGGCCCACTTGAGATCTTCCGTTCGCGTTGTGAAACATATGTGGAGCCGAATCACCCACTGACAGCAAGTCTGCAAGCCATGAGGGTTCCCGCGTACTTTTTCCAAGCTGAGTGGCAATTAGTCTCAGAAACATGCAGTAGTCAATTTTAGTCTGTGGGGGCTGAATCTTCATCCGCAATATCCGCTCAACCCGGTGAACATGGTTTTCTCCATACAGGAGCGACCGCACAACACCTTCACTTCATAAGACAAAGACCATTTTCCTAATTGATAGCGTTCCCCACCAATTTGAGTGGCAATACAGTGAGGTCACTGCAGCTAAATCCATTTATGTGTCATAACCAAGGTCTAGATCCAAAAGCTGTAAGTTTAGTTGTCATCCTGATTGACAAAAACGCAATGGTACTTGCACTGGAAAACATACAATGTAGGCTCGTCATCGTCATCTAGTTTACCGGTAAACAATGGGTCTCATATTTACGTAACTGCAGCCAATATCTCGTTGAGCAGGAATGCAATCCCCCGTGTGGCTGGTCTACTGCAACAATGCATCAGAGAAACAATTTGATCCATGTTCCCAGACTGTTGGGATTTCTCACAAGCTTTTTCTTGCCTCCGGGTCGGCTGAAATCTGCACGGTGTCTGCTTTATGAGAACCTTCATAGAAAGGCGCTGAAGCTTCAACCGGTTGACGGGTCGAGCACATCCTACTGTGACCTCGCTTTTCGCAGTCTGGTCGGACAGACCCACAGCTCACACAACCAACACCACACTAGAACGAGGAAAGGGGAAAAAATACATGACTTCTCGGGATGAAATTGTAGGCATTTTTCGGTGATTCAACGTTGAATCGCTCACAGATGAGGTATCAGAACAAGAAATATGAGCCTGCCTATCCTAAAAGGGTTGGTGCAGTCTAGTAAACTGTACGGCGGTGAAAAATCCTTAAGTATGGGCAGAATTCACCCCACAGAGTAGACTGTAAGTAATTTCCTTTGTATAATTAACCTCAGATTTTAAGAAGTTCTAAGTTTATAGGAGATCTATAGCTAATTAAAATCTTAGTAGCTAATATCCCCTATAGTAGTCGTACGGGTCAACCCTAAATTATTTAAAACCCTAGAAACTTTTTGATAGGGTACGACTAGGAAGCTCTACTTTTTGGTTTTAGCCCTACTTTACTATCTTAGTAATAGGTTGATATTAACGTACGACCTCTGAATATAATTACTTCCTAGTACTTTCTTACTATTTCTTAATTTTAACCCTCTACTATAGGAACTAATATCCCTACCGTTATATAGGAGCTTTTTACTCCTCTTTATACTCTACTAATTCTTATCTACTATAAGTATTAATCTGCTGTACAACTTGTAAAGGCAATGCCTAGGATCATATACCAATTCTAATAGACCAAAAAGTCCACTATATCAAAGCTCTTGCTTTGATATTCCCTAGCACCGATATATATACTAAGGTAGCGCGCGGCAACTTGTCAAAATCCTGTGACACAACTTAGCTAAATTATATATTATTTAACCTCTTCTTCCTATTCTATTTCCAGTCGTACGGCTACTTAGGTCTAAGAGACTTTTCTGATACTCTAGCATTAATTACTTACTACTTTTAGACCTAATCTAATTCTGTATTAACTATTACCTTTTAATCTTCTTCCTCTGTACTATAATAGTATTTAGTGCTAGTTTACTCCTATTTACTACTATATCTGTTGTACAACTAAAGTTATAAAAGAGTATTAGCAGACCTACTATTAATAGTATAAGACAGTGAAGTCCTACAAGTAGACATCGCCAGAACCCATGTCAACCATAACCTAACCCAACCCAACCCAACCCAAAATAGGTTTTGGGTCTAATTCTATAACCTATTGATGGGTTTTGGGTTAAGACCCTTAACCTAAAACCTATGTGGGAACCCACTGGGTCCCTATTTTAGTGTAAATAGCGCAAATATGCTAAGCTTATATAACTTCTAGAATTATAAAATTCCTACTCGTAATTTAAGGTATAAGTTTACTATCCTAAGGTATTGAATGCTTTATATTTATTAGATATTATATTATAAACTTATTATCCTAATAAATAAATTACAACTTAAGAGCTAGTAGATTATAATAATTTAATTATAAGATAGTAAATTTGATTAGTAGTAAACCTTAAAGATATTATTACTGCCCGAGCTCCAGTATATGGCAGCCAGCGAAGAAGGAACCAGATATTCGGAGTTTTTAGAATCACAGACACATACTATCTGACAGACATATCCACTCCTGTGTTACCTCGTATTGAGCCGAACTACTGAAAGAGCCATTCGAGCCAGCCAACGTCCCCTCTCTCTCCTTGCAAACATATGAGCCATACTTACTGTCATCACTTGTTGCCTTAATCTCGTCACCGTCCTTTGTGAAAGTTGAAGTTTGGCCGCAAAATGTTGCTTTCGCTCCATCAATTTCGCCATCCGAATTCCACGTGCCTTTGACATATATGAAGTCACCAGCTTTGGTAGAGACATACACTGCATTCCACTCGCTATTTTTCTCACATGTGAGACCAATTGGACACTCATCGGCAGACCAGTAAGTCTGCAGAATAGCAAAGCTTATGGTGGTAGAAGCGCTATCAGAAGCGGTGGTCGTTTTTGTGGACGTAGTTTTGGTAGTGGTGGTCTTCGGCGTAATTGTGGACACGGTCAGAGCCGGGGTCACTCCACAGACAAGGAACGTGGATTTAGCTGCATTGGTCTTCGTTGACAGAGAGACACCGTAACCCCCATCGCATGAGCAATAAGAAGATGAGCTGGTCGTCTGGATAGCGCATGAACTGGCTGAAATAGCAGTGGCCGTGGTCTTTGTAACGGTCGTTGTCATAGCGACATTTGGTGCCGTAGCTGAATCAGTCACTGTTGTGCTGTTGATGATCACAGGGTCCATGACTGTATATTGGACATTGAGCCATGATGCAGCAGCGTTGGCCTCGGAGGCCATCGCGTCATCGGAGTCTTCGATTAAACTGAGCGGCCAGGGGTCTGATTCTACGCTGCCGGGCGAGAAAGCGGCAAAACCAGTAGGCTCACAGCTCATGGTGAGAGAGGTGCAAAGGGTTACACAGGCTGTATCGGACTCTTGTGCGCAGGCATAGTCACAAATAGTGCTGACAGTAGGTGTTGCAGTTGCACTACAGGATTCAGTGCTTGAGGACTCTTCCTCTTCCTCTTCTTCGTTGCCACCTCCACCACCTTCGTGGAGACATGAACCTGAGAACACGAGAAAAAGAAAATCAGCTTCTTGCCCAGTAGAAATGATTAACCACCTTGCAAGGTTGTTGATTGAATTATTGGATTCATTGAACTTACCATCTCCGCATCCAGGACCACAACCAAGAAGACCACAGCCACCTCCACAAAAACCTATACCACACCCTCCATCACATCCAAAGAATCCACATTCTCCGCCACATCCAAACAGAGAACAATCAACAGCTCCACAGCCAGTTAGATCAGAGCCGGAACTACACCCGCCATTTGAGGGTGGATCCCCATCAGAATAGGTGAGAATGGGAATACTTGTCCCCGGGGGTGAAATTGAGGTTATTGTAGCCTCTGGGGCTACTGTAATCGCATGTGAGCTGCTACGGAATGTCACGGTGTCGGCGACGTAGGTGGTGGTAGCGGTTGACTCAACAGCAACGCCTAGTCTAGGTTAGCAATAATCACAATATTTAGTTCTCCATCACTCACAGTAGTATTCATCAACCCAAAGCCCAGCGCAATCTGATCCGACGGCCGGATTCCATTCCTATGATAAATTTGTTAGAAATTTCACAATTCAATCTCTAATAACATAGAACTTACAACAAACTGTGCTAGCGTGATGTCGTATGCGCTGGCTATTGCGGAGCACCCATCATCTGCAACCGCTTGGTAGAACTCTGTACAATCAGATACAAGACCAGACTGAACAGCGGCAGGTGTTGTGATAGATGCAGTAGTTGACGATGAGGTATCATCTGATGCAGTTGCGGTTGTCTTTGATGCGGCGTTTAGTATGGAAGTGTAATCAGTGTGGAAGAGAGGGAAGGTAGCTTCATCCGAAGGCAAAGTTAAACCAAAAGTAGGGGGAGCAATGCTCTGCGTGGGGCTCAAATAAGCATCAGTGCCAGTACTTAACACAGTGATAGGCCAGAATGGGATCTCATCAATAACGAATGGAGCGACAGCAATTGTCGTAGTCTTGGTTAATGTGCTTCCATCTGAGCTTGATGCGATGAGAGTCGTATAATCGGGCCAGGTAATAGTTTGCGGGGTATCTAGCGGGAATGGAGGTAGAATAATAGTGCAAGGAGGCTCGCAGGAGATTTCATGGGTCGCGTTGGTCCACAGATCAGGTCCGATGTAGGTATCCTCGCTTCCCCCATTGGAGCCATCGGTACCCTGGAATACATTAGTTGCCCCAGTCAAACCATCTGCCAGAAGAGATGTTAGTATCCAAAGAAGCCGAAGAAATCCGAATAAATTGAGGGTTTTGCCTACTGGTTGCAGTCCCATCAACATCCAAGCTGACAGCCCAGACCATTGTTCTGAAAGGGTTGGTGAGCACATAATCTGTAAAATATCCGTGGAATATTATCTCACTTACCCTCCAATACAGTGAGAATTGGCATAGTCCATCTTAGCCTCGAATGATACCCAGTCGTCGTAGCTGACCCATTGGTTTTCATCATATGTAACGATTTCTACGGCAGACGCTTCATCGTAGGTCTTGACGGCTCCGCGGGTATCATCCTTCAAGATTGCTTCGATCTCGGAGAATGAAAGTGTACCGGCATTGTTCGTACACTTTCCCGCAGTACCTGTGACTGCTTGTCAGGGCATGTTTTAAATGAAGATTTTCAACGTCGAAAAGAATACATACCAACTGACGAAAAGGGACATCCCGCGCTGACACAAGAAGTATCATTTATAGTGAAGCCTATGAAATTTCAAGGTTAGCAGAGAAGAACATTTCCTTGTGTATAGAACTCATTACTTCGCCCATAGAATCCCAGACCCATAGTGACCTGAGACGGTTTAATGTCATTTCGCCACAAAAGATCCATTGCCGCGATGATTTCCGTCAGGTTGGTGTGCGCGTTCACAACAGAGCCAATCCAGGGATTATCAGCATCCCAGCCACCGTCTAATAAGATAAATACACTTTAGTCTTGATCTTTGCCTTCATAGTATGATAACAGTGTGTTTTATACGTACGAAGATCGTAGGTCATCATATTAAACTGGAATATGCGAAAGAAAGTCAGTCGAGCTCATCATCCAAGATTCTGGTACGAGATAGTGTGCACTCACCCAGTCGACACTGTCTGCCATGGACACGATATCAAAATGTTGAAGATACCAGTAGCTACTAGGCAAGGTGATAGTTAACCCATATCCTTTGTTTGCACTATCAAGTGCAGACCGAAGATTCGCCAAGAAAGTGGGAAAGTTATCATAATCGGCATCTGTTCCACCGCGGTCTGAATCGACTGGATATTCCCTATACTTTTGCATTAGTCAAGAAACCTCAAAGACGGGCCGAAATACCCACCAGTCTAAATCCACGCCATCAAATCCGTATTTGTCTAAGAAATTCAACAAGGAATCAAAGAACGTGGATTGTTTAGATTTGGACGCCGCAAGGTTAGAGAACGTGCTAGCAGATGAGCCAGGGTCGTTGAAAGCCCAGCCACCGATAGAAATCCACACTTTCAAGTCAGTCTTGCGCTTTTTCAACGCAGTAACACGACTATAAAGGTCCTGTTGAGATGTCTCCATTGGGGTTATGGTGTAAAGATCAGGGTCAATATATAAGAAGGCGAAATTGAGGTGTGTATAGCCACCGATTGGAATATCTTCCGGCGGCATTGTGTCGCAGCTGCGCTCAGAGTTCCAACCTTCATAGTATGCGATGGTTCTTTTAGTGGCCGAAGTCCCGTCGCATACGGGCTCAGCCACACTGCTGTCACCACAAAAATCCGTGGTTGTTCCGCAAAAACCAAATTCACTACAGCATACATTCAAAGGGCAGTTCTCCGACTTGACATAGTCAGAGCCTGGATAAAAAGATCAAAGCCGTTAGAAGACGTTCACTACAGGTTTTCCTTCCCCAGCGGATAGAGCATACCCCATTTATCACCATAGCCTGGATACACACCAGGGTCACACTCAGCCAATTGAGAGCAAGTGCCATTGGTACTTGCCGCAACAATGCAGGTATCGGATGAACAGTAGTCTGGTCCATAGCCGCAAACGTTTGACAAATTAGAGCAACATCCTTCAGTGCATGGATTGTCTGAGTCGCATGAGATATCGTCACACAAACCAAAAATAAAAAAGAAAACCAAAAAAAAAGAAATAGAAATAAACTTATGCCGCATGGTTCCCGAGAGGATGTTTCAGCCAAACACCAAGGAATGTGAGCAGAATATCCACGGACAAAGAAAAAAAGAGTATCTGAGAGCAAGAACTCGGACATATTGAGGTGTCCTACCTTTTATACCGGAAATTCCACCTTGATTTTCGCCTGGTAGCGAATTTAGTGTCTTAAAATTGCCCGAATTTTTTTGGAATCTTCTCTTGAAGTTCGGTCAGTCGTCAACGAGCCCTGAAATATTCTAAAATTACAGCTAGCAGTGCCTAGATAGATACGGAGCTTGGACTCCACACATATGCATGGGCGGGACGCTGGGAGTTGGGCGCATGGGCTGCTTCCAAGGTTGTTCCTATCTAAATTCTTCCTCCCACTGAAGACACACTGCATATGAAATTTACTACAGGTTGATATTTTTCTTTTTTCCATCTCGCAATCTCGAGTACGACAATACAAATCTTGGTGGTGAAGACACTTTGCAACATTCTCGCCATTTCATTATCATATTTCTCTAATCCGTGCTACCTCTTGAACTTCCCACTACGGAGCGTAAGCTAGTTCAACCCTGACAGACCCGCTTCAACTTCTCACGCTAAGCATAGTACAACTCGGGCAAAACCTGAGTGTAGTGTTTTTTCCGAGCACCCATGGACTGTAACCTGGATATTTACGCCGTAGCCGGGAAAATTGAAACGCTCGAGAGCACTTGATGTCGTGATGTGGAAATGAAAGTTGTAAAGGTACTAGGGTTAGCGTATTTAGGCTCGGCAGGCTCGGAAGATGTTGTTCGCGCGGCCTCGGGGGCCATTTAGTTTAGGGTCTTGGCGTTCACACTACTACTAAGTCCACAAAATCCCTTCGGTATATACATCGGAGCTAGCGTAAAGAGATACTGTTCCTAGTGTTAATGTACTAGATGTGTTTAGAGTCTTGGCGCCCATATAAACTAATAGCAAAATTCGGGTCATTTGACCTTCAGTAGGGAAGATGCGGCTCTTAGCGTGAATTGCACATGAATTAAAAGCCTTGGCATTCGCTTCGTTTGAGACTAAGCTTTAATCTTGCTAGCGCCACAAAATCCCTGCAGTACTACCCCTCGAATTCCCTGCGACTTGTTTAAAGAGCTGTGAATTATATTTTCAGGCTATGTAAACTGGACATACATTCTACTAATGATGATGGGAAATTTTCAAATTATTGTGAAAGAATGAACGAAGTGCTATGGCAGGAATTGTTAAAGTAGTAGCTACAATGGAGAAAACATAATATCACTGCTAACAAGAGATAGCTACCATATTTGTTTCGTCTGGGCTAAACGAGGATAAAAACGAGCCTAAGGAAAGAGACTAAGGAGACTAAGGAAATGCCTTCTTGGCCTCTTTAGATTGCATTCAGGACCATAATTTAGCCTTTCTGGCTCTGGGGCCAGATATTTCTGGACCAGGGGCTCACTAGGTGGGTTTAGATCCTTCTCTAGGAACCACAATGTAAAACTCATCTTCGCTATCTAGAAAAGGAGCTATATAGTCATTTGGCTGCCCTTGCTACTGTAACCAATGTCTGTCCGCGGTCATACGTCAATCACGAAAAATTATTGAAGATATCCCCTTTAATGATACTTGACCCTAGCTAATAATCTTCCTACTACGCCAAAGCGACAAAGTGACTTTGGTAGTATCTATGGCATGTAGTGCACCTACTTCGGCGCCTAGTACTACTAGTTCACTGCAGTCGTGTTTGGGGGGGGGGAGAGTATAGCTAAGACTCATTTTGGATACAACTCTGGGCCAATCTTCGCGCGGGCCTAGTAATTTATATGAAATGTAAAAACAAAGTTATATTACCAGTCTTCATGGAAGTTAGACTGTCAGTATATGCCAGTTTCTGCCAATCGGCTAAACCAATGTTTAGAATTTGGGCATACATAGTCTTGCTCAGGTGGATTGTGAGATTTAGTCCGCGGCATATAAATCAAGTCTTTTCCGGTATGGATTGATCTCGCTTTCTTAACTCTCTTTTTTCCAAGGTTGTCGCTCATTTCGTCCTTGTTTTTGGGGTCACCCACATTATACCTGTCGTTCTTCAGGGCTTTTGGTCTCTTTCGTTAACATATTTTTTTCTCTTTGGAGCACTGAAACCGCTCATCTCTCATCAAATTTGGCCTCTCATTCGGCCTTTTTCAGAAGGGCCGTGTAAATCTTCGTATTCTCCAAGATGAAGATTCACTCACGGAAGCCCAGGAATTGGCTAATCAATTGCATTTGTTTGCTTTTCTTTCTTGGTCGATGCTATGCCTTGGATGCCTATAGTCGCTTTCGCGTCGAAGAAGGCACAGGTCCTGTTACTGCGGCTGGAACATTCGGCTATGGCGGCACTTGCTATGGCGTTGGTGAGGAAGGAGCAGACCTAGATGCCATATATACCGAGGCGATAGATATGGCACAGGTAGCTTTGGATGCCCTTAACAATTACGCTAACAGTGCTACCGTACGTGCGACCGTGCAGACATTCCTTGGAATAAAACCCGCATCAGAAACGTCCACAACAGTCCTGGCCGATCATGCCAACTATTTTACCACTGCTAAAAGTTAGTTTATTTTCCTGGTTGTCATTTCCATACGTGACCTCTATACCCCGCACAGAAATGGCTTTGTGTCTGTTCAAAATGCTCTTTGTACTTTTACCAGTTATTTGGAGGTGATAGATAGCTAACCCTCACACTATGTCAATAGATGTTCTTGAAGCGATTATTGCTTTCTCTAATGGCAAAGGACTCGAGAAACCAGGTCTTTTCTGTGACGACAGTTGGCGCTGGAAGACAAAGATGGTGTATTCACAGTCTACTGGGGAAATGACTACCACGACGGTCTCCGAGGACACAGGTGGTAAAGAGCAATGGAACTGGTGGTCTCCTTTGTACCGAAAGCATGTCGGCACAGGGGAGGGTTGTATAAATAACGGAGAGAGTGCCACATTCGGCTTCACTTGTCACGAGGAGGGGGCCCAATCAATCACAATGTGTCCAATCAGCTTTAGTTACCCCAAGCGATATACCCTGAGTGCTTATCGATCCGGCGAGAAGGTCGTCCCGGAGGGTAAAGCCTTGCAAACGTATATGTTTATTCCGGGTATTTTATTGCATGAGCTGGCTCACTTGGTTACGGAAGGTGGTAAGTCAAATCAAACTCTCTAGTCTCGAATTTTTCCGTGTGCGAGAATGATACTTCGATCTAACTTTGGCTAAATTTAACTTGAATAGATGTCTCGGATATTCCAATACGTATTGGTGGATCGGCCGCAAAGAAGGCTTATGGAGCTGTGCTCGTCGAGACGCTTGCTAAAGGACTCCCTGAATACGCCGTCCAAAATGCTGATAGCTATAATTGGTTTGCTACTGCTATTTATATTGACCAATGCGACTGGTCACGGGGCAAATGCGCCAAAAGTACGGCTACAACCTCTGTCTCTACTCGTTCAAGCAACCAAATTAGCTCCATCCTGCCTGGCTTTCGAAGCTTTAGGCGAAGACTATTCTCTCTCTTCGCTCATCAACGGACGAGGAGAGTGAGCTGATATAAACTTTGTTCCTTGACTCGGAGTCGCCTATACAGAAGGGGTTGGATGTTATGAGTTCTGCTCTCATGGGCTACTTAGATAGTAGCTGTGTAATTAAGAATAGTTAAACGCTTGACTTCAAGTTGTTATTTCTTTCTCTCCCAAGCTCTCTCTCTCCCCCCCCTCTCTCTTAGATAGATTAATCGAGATATCTTCTTCTCCGATCTCCGACTAGGCTCCTATCACTTTTGCTCTATCTATAAGTCATCATCATCAGATTCGGTAGGGAACTGATAAGATGCTATTGCCTCCTCCCTAGTCATGCCAATGTCAAGGACGACAGGGAGTGGAGGAGGCAGCGGGAAATACGCATTCTCTGATATACCTTCCTTCACCTCTAAAAACCGGACATGCCGAGATTCATATCCTAGCATACCAAAATTTTCCAAATCTTCAAGTAAATGATCCATAACCTCCCAAATTTTCCGTCCATTACGGATACGCGAGCCCCATCTCATATTCTCCTTGTAGTGTTGCTCAGCTTCTTCATCCTTGAATTTGAAAAGGTAAACTAAACGTCGAGCAGCCTGTCCACGATACTCAATCTTCCCATTCATCCATGCACGTTTTTGAGAGAGAAATCCTACCATAGGATGAGGTGGTTCCTCTGGAGAATCCCAGTCGGGCTCGGCATGCCAGTGTATCATGCCGTAACATTTTTCCAAGGATAACACAGTAGTATCATCCAAGTCCGCAGGGAAATAAACAGTCAAGATCTCATAAAGCTTTTGCGGCGGAAAAGCAGGGTTTGCCCTTACTATTTGCAGACAATCACCAATCGGCCAGATAAGGTCACGTTTCAAGAAGCGGGGTACGAGAACTTCTTCTAATTTGGAAAATAGCTCTGACGCGAGAAATATTTCTCTGGCGGCGTAGTTTTCCCACTCTATACTTCTTGGTTAGAGATTTATTTGTCGCGCCTAGTAAGGGCCGGTGCTACTTACCGATTATTAACCACTCGATGCCGCTAAGCTCGCGCGGACTACCTCGCGCAACAACCTGGCATCCATTTTGCTGAGATAGACGTTGTAAGAGACTGAAAAGTCTGCCATTTTCAGGAGTAGTATCACTGGCTACTTTCAGTGATAACAATTCAAGCAGTCTTCGTCGTGGAGAAACATGATGTAATGGTGTTTCAATTTCCCCGGCCTCCATTCGAACTGGTCAGGCAAGAAAAAAAATCGCTCTTTGGTGCTGAAGGAATAAAACAGAGCCAAGTCACGTTGACTCAACGCCAACTATTTATTATGTTTTTGGCTAGTCACTTCCGCCCCTCTCGTAATGTACAGATTACCGAGCAGGATGACCCACCCGGCTGAACCAAATATACGCGTATTATGTCAAACAAAGGGTAACGTTCCGTGACCGCGTATTAGCATGTCAGCTGTAAAAATCAAAATAATAAGAAAGTGAACAAGTTGAACATTTCACTAAATTAATAGCGTAACACGGTATGTAATGAGAACTAGGAACAACTCTTAGCTAGTATGGCAGCTCAGCGATTTGTCATATCTTCTAATTTCTCGCTAGAGGCACGTAGACTTACTAAAGTGTCCTGTGTTTTAGCTAGTTACAGTGGCGTTCCAAAAGTTTGAAACACCCAGCAGAAAAAAGGGAGGTCTGCTCCACTAAACCCTCTGTCCTAGCGAATAGCATATGGTAAAATAAGGCTCTATACCTAGTCTGGTAAGTGGTGGGCTTGATTCAGCAAGCGGTAAAAAAGGCGGTCGAAGGGGTGTTTCAAACCTTTGGAACAGGACTAGTTATACGCCGGCATAGACATCGCCATAACCCATTTTGGGTTGAACATGCCGACCCAAAACCCAACCTACTGGGTTTTGGGTTATAGGTGAGATAACCCAACCTAACCCAAAACCCAGTGGGCTATGAATAGGTAACCCATTTCAACCCATCTCAACCCATTCGTATATAAAACAGACGTCTTGGCGTTTATAAAACAGATTACTAAGTAGTATAAAATTATATCAGATACAGACGTACACTTAGTATATTAGTAATTAATTAGTTTACAACATCTTAATATTTATCGTACACTTCTATAAATTATTCGCAAGTATTTAAGTTCATATTACTCATTATATTCCGATAAACTGTTGCTACTTCACACTAACAAAGTCACCTGTAGACATCGCCATAACCCATTTTAGGTTGAACATACCGACCTAAAACCTAACCCACTGGGTTTTGGGTTATAGGGTAGATAACCCAACCCAACCCAAAACCTAGTAGGTTATGAATAGGTAACCTATTTCAACCTATCTCAACCTATTTGTATATAAAACAGACGTCTTAGCGTTTATAAAACAGATTACTAAGTAGTATAAAATTATATCAGATACAGACGTACACTTAGTGTATTAGTAATTAATTAGTTTACAATATCTTAATATTTATTATATACTTCTACAAATTATTCGTAAGTATTTAAGTTTATATTACTTATTATATTCCGATAAACTATTCCTACTTTATACTAATAAAGTTACCTGTATACTTCCCCTTAACACTAGTCTTGAAGCTTAAGAAGCTCCTTACTATCTACTATAGATATAGCGTTATCTTCGCTATAAATCTCCTCTTTACTATCCCTAAGGGTAGCTGCTGTCATCAGTAGCCTATTCTTCTTCTAGTAAAAGAAAGAGTTGCTTCTATAAGCAGTAATCTCTATACGCTTTATTTACTTAAACACCAGAACAAACCGCCGATATACGTCTCTCTGCTAGATCCGGATTATTTTAGTTGCCTAGGTAGAGTTATAACTAAAGAGAATATCTAGATCCTTAATAACCGTAAGATTTATCTACTGCTGCCGGCTAACTAGGTAAGCTAAGATCTCTAACATTAGGTAGAAATAGGTTACTGTAGGAAAAGGGTATACTATCTTACTATATTTAGCAGAGGTATATCCGGACAGGGTCTTAGGAGCCAGTATTAGATTATAATAGGTATCAGTAAGCTCTTCCTAGGTATCGTGTAATGGTTACTAAGTTGTCAGGCTAGAGACCTGTGACTAGGCAAGGATATCGGATAGTAGAGATCAGATTAGATAGTTGATATACAGACTGATTCTTGAAGAGATCAAGAATCCTGAATACTTATGGGATCTTAAATACATTAGGGTTCGGGTGGGCCTCGATATGCAGGTGACTCGAAGGGGATTCGGCTTCGGATCGGCGTCAAGTGTCTGAGGTGTTGTATACTCGGAATCCCGTGATAATTTATCCTCCCCTCTGAGTGATGACCGACCCGGGCATCAACAAAGGTAAGAATTAGATCAAACGGACTAAACTTGATGGCGTTACCTCGATCAAAGGCTCTCAGGCATGTCCTAATTCGGTGCGTTTGTACGTGGATATAAACAAAGCAATATACTCTCTTTGTTGCCTCTATAATAAAAGCTTCCTCCTGCACTCTCTTAATCCTTACTTTTCTCTTATCTTTATTTTCTTCAATCTTAATCTGTTCCTTCTCGTCCTTGATTCGTTATCCTTTCGTTATGTCGGCTACTGCTGCTGCCGCTGGTACCGCCGGCGCTCCGATCACGGTTGCAGGTCCTTCTGGAGGCACTAGGGGTGCTGCTCGTCGAGGTGGAGATCGTGCGAAAGGTAAGGGTCGTGCTGCTCCTGCTCCTGTTCCTGGGGCTGCTGTTCCTGCCTGGGGTGTTGCAAGTACGGCTGCAGCCGTATTAGGATCGTATCACCTTCTGGTCTCCTACCGCAAGATAATCTCTGTTTATCTCTCCGAGCACGAGCTCTATTTCGATACCAAAAACACAGACCAGGCCTTGTTGAGTTATGTTGAGTTTGTGGATAGGCGACGGAAGGAGTTAAATGCTAAAGCCGGTTCGCCTTCTGCTCTGCCCCCCTCGCTATCCTAATAATCTTCTGCGCTTGCAGATCAGCGATGCGGGTTTTAGCCTCTGGCAGAGCGGTATTCGATCTTTCTTCTGGGGGGTTGCGGCTGGTTATCTGTAAGATGTCGCTCCAGGTGGAGGAGCTGCTTTGACTCCGGCTGTAGTCCAAACTGCTACCAATATTCGAGCTCTGGCGGATATGTATGGTTTGCCTTGGTGAGCTTCTAGGTTCATCTCCCCTCTTCCGAGGTTCGAACGGCCTCGTTTGGTGTCGATCTTAGGCCTGTGGGCCTTTCCTTTGTTGTCTTTCTTTTTGTGACTGGTGTGATGTGTGAGGTAATCGTTGTTGAATCGGTAGTATTTCCTAGTGGTATCCCAGGGGTTTCGTTGTCTTCATAATACAGTTTTCTTTGTTTTCTTTCTTCTGAATGAATTTATTACGCCTTGTGCGTTCTTTAAGTGATCTGCAGGTTCCCATTGGTTGTATTCTGATGGCCAGCCGGTCCATTTAACGTAATAGTGTAAGGTTCTATCAAAGGTTCTTTTTTTATCTCGAATCTCTTCAATCTCCTATTCCTCTTTGTCTTCGAGTTCAGGTATTGGCATCCGCAAATCGTCTTTGTTTCGGCTGTTCCATAGCTCGAGGAGGGAGACAGAGAAAACGTTGTACAATCTTGAGTACTTCTCTGGTAATGCAATACAATACGCCTGCGCGCTAATCTTTATAAGGATACAGAAGGGTCCGATTCGTTCGGGGAGATAACTTCTTCTCTTTAGCTTTGAAGCGGATATTTCTTGTCAATAGGGATACAAGAGTTCCGACCTAAATATAGTCGGGCCCAACAGGGGGGGGGGTGGTCCGCATTAACAAGGCTTGGCAAGGGGGGGGGTGTTGGCATTTAAGGTTTGAACCCAACACCCCCCCCCCCTAAGTACCTTAAATTTTAGTATTTTGTGATCGGGTCTTCAAGATCTTTTAATAAAATAGGTGAAATTATCTTTCTATCAAAAAATATTTGTAGATTTCTATGTAGAAGAGGCTAACCCTAAGGGGGGGTAGTTTGTATAGGAGATTTTTTGATGGGGGATGCTAAGGCTAGGTCCTGCGGGTAAGCTATACCACTTTCAGCCACTTCCCTCAGGCCCTAGGGTTTAGCCTTAGTAATCTGGCACTCTAGGGTTTATAGGGTCTAGAGTAAGATAGCTTATAACTAGGTAACTAGATAAGCTATTCAAATAGGGCTTTTTATATTAGCTTGATAGTAGATCTAGCTATAGGCCTAGTATATAGAGATTATATAAGCAATCTCTATATAGGCAGTATAAGCCTAAGTAGGTTCTTTAGAATGTTCTATAAGATAACTAATCAATTTTACTCTAGTATAGTAGCGGTAGTCTTGGTTGGTTAACCAGTTAATAGACCAGTTAATTAACCAGTTGATAGGCCAGATAGTAGGCTAGAACGTAGGCTATAAGGTAGGTAAGCAGCCAGCTTGTAATGATTACTAAGTTGTCAGGCTAGAGACCTGTAACTAGGCAAGGGTATCAGATGGTAGAGATCAGATTAGACAGTTAATATTCAGACTGATTCCTGAAGAGATCAAGAATTCTGAATAATTATAGGATCTTAAATATACTAGGGTTTGGGTAGATCTCGATATATAGGTGGCTCGAAGAGGATTCAAGTACGGATTGACATCGAACGCCTGGGGTGCTGTATACTTCCAAATCCTATAATATAGTACCTAAGGTAGGCTACCTAGTATAAAGAGCTGTAGCAACAACTGTTCTATTAGGGCTAGGCCTGTATACTGTTTACAATAATCTTAGAGAAGAATGAGTTGTTTATATCTGTCTACCTTGGTTTCCTGCAGGAAAAAGGTTATATACTATCACGTAATATCAACTAGGCCCTGGCCCGTTATACCTAGGGGGTCTACCTAGATCGATACACTATCTCGGTAATATAGTATCTTAGCTTATATAATTCAGTAGTAGGCTAGGTAGTAGGTTAGAAGGTAGGATGGCTAGTTGATAGGTTAGTTAATAGGCCAGTTGATAGGCCAGTTGATAGGCCAGTTGATAGGCCAGTTAATAGGTAAGCAGCCAGGTAGGCAGGTAGATACGCTAGTATTAGGCTATAATCTACTACTAGGCTACTACTAGGCTACTACTAAGCTACTACTAAGCTATTCCTACCAGGCTAATACTACTACGCTATTACATATTATTAAGAACAGATCAGGCTAATTAACTGCACCTAAATTGATCTACTACCTACTACATAAATCTAACTACTCACTATAGCCATGGAGATCTCCATAGCTGCTAGCAAAGCAGTAGAAGACCCAGGCTGCACCTACCATCTCAGTATCCAATTTCCAAAGAGGGTCTTGGAAGGTCTCAGGCTCCCATACCTTAGGCAACCAATCCATACTAAAATAAGGTATACCTAAGCTTGGCTGCTTAGTAAACGATAGATGGCAGACGGTCCAAAACAATAGGAGTAGCCTAGGGGCCAGACACGATTTACCCTTATTGGTAAGCAGAGGGCCCTTACAGAGCTTAGTAGGTAGATAGCACCTAAAGCAGCAACTATCTACCTGAGGATTCAGGCTATCATCTAGCTGCTGGATCCACTGTTGAATATCAGGCCTTTGGTAAACAGGACAGGTAGTTAGTAGATGCCTAAGGTCTGGCTTGGACCCTCGAGGCTCTCTTCCTATATAATAGATTAGTATTATCAATAGATAGATAGACAGATAGATAGATAGGTAGTAGGGTAGTAGGGTAGTAGGGTAGTAGGGTAGTAGGGTAGTAGGCTTACCTAGCCACGCGATGAAGCAGACCAGACACTGCTCGTTCATCCAGAAATAAATAGCCCTTGGTAGTAGCTCACCACCCTTCCAATTCTGCCGATGGGTCTGATATACCCTATCTACTACTGCTGATTGGGTAGCTAGACGGTCAGCGCAGAGATCACACTGCGCCCAGGCAGGGTCGCATGATTCTAGGGCTTCTGAATCGAAAACCCTAGAGATTACCCGCCGGCGGCAGATCTGTTCTAGCAGATAGCTTTGGAAGTAGGCCTTCTCTGCTGTCTGAGGTACTGAGCTAGCCTGAGGCTGCTGTAGCTGGTAGGATTGTACTAGGCAGTAGGACCACGCTAGACTATCAGGTGATCTACCAGCTCTACCAGATTCCTGTATAAAATTAGTCATCTCATAGGCACCAGGTAGGAAGTGGATGACAAGATTAACATCAGGAAAATCGTAGCCAGCCCCTACTCCACTAGTAGCTAATAGGATAGGGGTTCCTGCCCTAAAGCTTCCTAGCTGGCTTAGCTTATCCTCATCAGATAGCCCAGAGTGGAATCTAGCTGCCTGAGGCTGTAAGGAATCAAATAGCCCATCAACCAGCTTTTTGGTACGGCAGAAGACCACTACCTTTGCAGTAGCCCTAGGGCCAAAGGGACCATTGGTAGCCTCAAATTTCTTAACAAACTGGCTAATATAGCTAGGATATCTAGCCTCATCTAGCCTAGTAGGTAGGGTTTGGACCCTATAGGCCATCTGTGTCAAGAGTAGGCTAGCCCTAAGGGTATAGGGCTGATTACCTAGCTGAAGCATATCAATCAGCTCAGTCTGCAGATGGCTTGGTAGAGTAGCTGAAGCAAAGACCATAGGAACCCTAAGGGCTAGAGCATGCCAGGCACGCTTCATAATTGGCCGATAGCTCTGGGATAGAGGAATTAGGTGACATTCATCCCAAATTAGCCTAGCTAGTCTTCTTTGGGCAATTAGAGTACTAGCTAGATCTAGGAACCTTGGGTGAATCACATGTTCAACTTGGACTAGGAGGATCCTACACCCACTAGGCAGAGAGTATAGGGAAGGCGACCAAGCAGTAGGCCCTAGGCCTAAGGTATCTGCCTTCCCTAATAGATCTAGCTTCAAAGAGATCAGTGGGATAACTATAATAGTGACCTGGTTCACAAAGAGACTAGCCCCAAATAGGAACAGTGTAGTCTTCCCTGCAGCAGTAGGTAGGATCAAGAAGAGATAGGGTATCTGCTTCATCATCAGATAAAAAGCCTCTTGCTGCTTAGAGCTTCGGAAGGTAGCCTGCCGATCACTAAGAAACTCCTGAAGTAGCTGGGTTAGAAGGCCTATATCTACCTGGCTACTAGCTATCAAGGGTGAATAGCTAAGCTGGCGGATTACCTGGCTACTATCAAGAGTATATATATAATCAGACGATTGGATTGGCTGTTCAGTAGCTGCCTGAGGTACTCTATATAGGCTCATGAATTCATTGAATTGACCAATCGAGACCCTATCAGTAGGGCGGTCAATACCAGGGCGGGCAGGATAGTAGAATTCAACTACTGGGCGGTCAAGTGGTAGCTTGAGAGCTATAGGGGCCTTAGGCTCCTGAGACAGAATAAGGTCTACTTCTGCCTTAGGGATTAGGCGTAGGCGGTTATAGAAGAGAGACCCTAGGACTAGCTGATCAGGTGCTATACCAAGATAGGTATGCCACTGCTGGCTAAAGCTAATTAGGGCAGATTGGATATCTGCCCTGACGCCCTGGAAGCTAGTCAGGGTTCTGCCATAGATAGCTAGGCCTGTAGCCCTACTATGATTCATCTGATCTGCCCCTAGGCCCTCATAGTCAATCTTATCAATAGTAGGATTATCTAGGGTATCTGATAGGCCTAGGCCATGCCTAATAAACCCCTGTGCCAGATGACGCCAGATTCTGATATTGATTCGCCGAGTAAGCAAATCACTAGTCAGAGTCTTTAGCGTATGAGATAGGACTTTGGATGAGAAGGGCCTAGCGGTTCGATAGTCCCAGAAGAGTAGAAAGTGAGCCTTAGGCAGCTGGTTTTCAAGAGAGATTAGTAGGGCTTCTTCAAACGGTCTTATATAGGCTAGATAGGCTAGGATAAGATAGGATACCGCTTGTGGTAAAGCCCTAACTGCATCCTTTTCCTGGCCAGTTCGGGAGAAGGTCTTTGA